ATTCTATAAAATTTGGTTCGATCCGATCATCGGAACTATCTAATAAATGCGTTAAAATAAAAAAATGAACATGAATATTCTTGGACTCAACATATTCCTCGAATGAGTGGTGATAGTAAGTCATACCAACAAAATTACCCCAATCAGGCAATCTGTTACTGAGCTATAAAGACAAACGTATGCATATGTAGCGTTACTTTTGCCCCCCACTCCCCTCTATAAATACAATAAAAATAAGCACGTAAATGTTTGACAAACCTTGCACTCTTGCTTTGTTTTGACATTCCCGATACACATCAGTTGTAAAGTTAACATTAATCAGGACGCTTGAATCATCCCATCCAAACGTTTTGCTGTTACGTTTGTAGCATCCAAAGTGTTCTGTCGTCTTCTTTTTCGGATCAGCTGATTCTGATAGTATCATGTGACATATCACAGATAAGATCGCTGCTCTGATTTCCATGATATACCTACAGACGTAGACGTTCTAAAGTTTATGTAAATGTGACTAATTTTTGCATTACTAATAGACAATAGTCTGAAGACGGGCATAATGCCATCATTAAATGAAAAAATTAACATCTAAAAGATTTTAAGTTATTTAAACTGTAAAACTTCACAATTATACCTGAAAAACCCTCAGTCTGCCTTAAGATTTCCAATAGGTCTTCACAATATCAAGTTGTATTTCATTTCAGAGCCCCTTAAGAGACGAAATTGCAACCCACCGGAAAGTTGCCAAAAATAAATGTAATCATAAGTCAGGATCAAATGAGAAGCAAGAATGTGATTCATGTTTGATACAAGAGAAACGCCATTTCCGGACGTGAGGAGAGTTAGGACTCCTCTAACTACATTAAAAAATTCCTTCTGTAACGTTCTGAATAAACATAGTTACGAAAACAAAATTTACTAAACATTTTAAAACATTACTGAACACCAAAATTATATTACCAATGCAAAGATACAACAAAAGAACATATATAATAATAAATCAAAACAAATATGAAAGTATGAACATAAACAATAACAATAACAAAATAACAACCAAATATACGATATTTGGAGAATGACTCAGAAGCGTAAAATATCAAATTTGCTCCTTTATCAAAATAAATTTTCAAAATTTTTTTTTACAGAAACAAATGTTACAGAAAAGGGCAATTAAATAAAAATGTTAGTTGTTAAAACCTCATGAAACTTATATTATATGTACACGGATGTTTATTAATCAACTATATACAGCAAACACAAGATAATAGAAAATAAGTCGTAAAATCGAGTGGCCGAGTAGTCTCGACTCACCCATAGCTTCTCCATAAACGTCTATCATGAGCTTTGTACACTAAATCGTTGAAATTACTTAAACACAATCACAATAATGTTCTTTGTCATAATGTCTTTTAAAAATAAATCAAATAAATTTGAACGAGGTCTGCCCCTCCTTCCTTTGTAGTCAAGACATCCTAAACATGCAAATCTGAAAGATAAGAAAGCGGGAGTGTCATCACTGCTTCTGAGAACGTGCCCAAGCATCTTCCATCTTGCTTTCTTGATCCTTTCAGTAAGGGGTCTGACATTACATCTCTTATATAAGTTCTCGTTACTGATAACCGTAGGCCAATAGGTGTTGAATATCTGTCTCAGATGCTTCCTTTGAAGAACGTCAACAGATGCCATTACGGTTTCAGGAGCAGCCCAGCTGCTACAATTATACAACAACACTGAAGTGACAAGAGCTTCGTACAGCTTCAGCTTTCTACTCTCACTGATCTGAACAGAATTATTCAACCAGACTTTCTTGTAGGTGTAGAAAGCAACATTGGCTTTGTTGCGTCTGTTGACAATGTCTCTTTCTGAACATAGCTTTGATCCTAATAGCACTGACTCTCGCCACTCTTCATCTCCTCTGATTTTATTGCCATGGGCATCTAAAGCATCTGTCTCTGCCAAATACACTCTAGTTGTAAACACCGTGTCTTTGATTCGTTAACAAAGAGACTCCAATCCTTTAGTATGTCACTGGCAATCTCTAGTATCTTCACCAGGCTCTGACCATCTTCACTCAGAAGCTCAGCATCGTCAGCATAGGCGGACTCTATTAGATACTGGGGGGTTCGGTCTAGGAATCGTGACACTGATCACGGCTCTGATGTGATTCAGGGCACCGGCAAGGGTCAATGTAAACACTTTACCTGCCAGACTGTCTCCCTGGTAAGCTCCAATATTAATCACAAATTCACCAGACTCAGCTCTGTTGACCGTCACCTTGAGCTTTGTATTTGAGAGGAGGTACTGAACTAGGCGAATGTCGTCTCCAGAGCATCCTGCATCAATGAGGAGGTTGATGATGGTCTGTCTGCGGATAGTATTAAACGCAGCGGTCATGTCAATGTTGATTTTACTATACTCAAACTCGCGCCTGGTAACCACTGATGTCAACATTCTCTGAGAACAAACTAGGTCAGCACAACTGCGACCCTGCTTGTATGCCGCCTGCCAAGGTCCAGTGTACATATCAACGTGGTAATTGATTCTGTTCAAGGCTACGAGCTTACGAGGGATAGGACTTTTCTAGTTCCATTTAGCAATGTGAGGGGCCGGATAGACTTTACCCGACCTCGGGGTTTTCCTGGCTTCTGAAGGGGTGTCAGGATACCTTCTCCAATAGCTGGGATGTATGTGTTGGTCTCAAAGGAGAGATTGTAGATCCTAGCCAACTCACAGTGGAGGGGATATCCAACAGCTTTCATAAGCTCATTAGGTATACCGTCAGGGCCACACGCTCTACCGGATTTCAGCTTCATAACAGCACGGCAGAGGAGGCTTCCAGGAGGGTCTATAAATGCTGGGAGGTGGGGTTCATCTTTGTCATTGAACTCATTATTAAAGTATTCTTTAATGGCTTCTGCTTTTAATGAGTCTGAACCTAAGGTGTTGCCGTCTGCATCGTGGACAGTCACTCCGTCTTTCTTCATCCAATAACGCTGGGCCAATGTTCTATTCGCTTTAAACATGATTCTGCAGCTGTCGGTGTTGTTGATGACATCTACTAGGGCGTTAGCAGTGGCCTCGTTGATAGATTTCAATCTCTTTTTGATGGTACGTTTGAGATGGTTGATTCTTTTTCTGAGGTCACTCCTGTCACTTATCCCTGTGAGGCTACATTCTTGTTGGAGGGACATTCTCTCTGCTGAAAGTTTAACGACAGTTGGATCGTCGCTGTACTGATAAGGCTTCCTCGGGGGCACTTTACCAACCACCTGGACTCAATATACCAAATATACCAAATATATCAGAATTTTCAGAAATAGCATTATTAGTTAAAACTCTACAATCAATATTACTTTTAAAAGAATCAAAAAATTTAGACTTAATATCAGGATCATTAAGGCGATTGACATCAAACCTTATTTTGTCAGACGGATGTTTAGCCTCTATAAACTTTTAAACATATTTATTTAAGACATTATTATTAAAATTCTGATTTTTCTGAATAATTCAATTTTAAGAGACTTCACATCTTTAATAAATCCTTCTAAATTCGTATTTACATTACATAGTCTAAATAATTGTGAATAAAATACATCGTATGATCTTCTATCAGGGACGTTCGATTTCAGATTAGGCATGCTTGAAACTTTAAAATGAAAATCATTCCTTTTATCATATAACCCTTTACAGATTTTATGGACACATATTTGTATGAAGTTACCAAAATTATGTACTTTCATATTAGCTCAGACATTATGGACAAATATTAGGAATATTGTTAAAAGCTAGGTGGAAATAAAACGTCATTTTTAAAACATTCTACATAATATGATAATGATCTCACTGAGTAGTTTAGTTCATTCCAAATTTTTGGTCCACAAAACATAAATGCAGCATCTGTTCGTCTGAAATGAGGAACAGGAGGAACTTTCAACAATAATAACTTTCAACAATAATAACTTACAACTAAAAGTCATCATTTAGTCTGGAACTTCGTCTTCGTACTTCTCTTAGATCGAAGTAGAGTCTTTGGTACCTTGACCGTTTAAGGAAGTGTTTTGAATTTCCTTCTCAAATCTCAATATTATAGTAAATGGTTTTTACTTTTTTTTCAAAGAAAGTCTTGAGTTTGTCAGCAACTTCGATATCTTCACCATTTGGCAATTTGTTGGTGCCATATTCTTTATCTAAAAGTTTATTTTGACTTTGTAGGTCCCTTTCGAGTCTCCTTTGCAAGAACTGAGCTGTTTATCATATAGTAGTTATCCCTAGCTCGATTGATGGTGATTTCTGCGTCAACACACTTTTCAAAATGACTAGTCTTACACTCATCATTCTCTGGATGCTTTTTGGCTCTTCGTGTTGCTCGTCTCCTCTTACGTAATAATATGTGAATAAACCCCTCAGGCCTCAGGTTAATGTGGTTGGTAAGTCCCATATTTCTTGACTGTAGCTAGATGGACAGACACTTTCGAATTATAGTGTTGATTAATGTAATGAATATTTATCCTTTAATCTTATATTAACATTTTTCGACTGATTTGAATGTCCTGCATAGCAGATCGAAGCATATGGGCAATTCCACGGTAAGGTTCCACTTGGTGAAAATGAAAAATGTTAAGATAGGCACCTAATTCCCTTTATTCGGAAATGTTCTAAGAAACAAGTATATAATTTTATGACAATAGGCAGACGTAATAAGGCTTTTCTTCAGCTTGTTTCAGTTCTCATTTTCACGTTACCTTTTTTATGTTCGTGTTTTTAGCCGTAAAGATAATATTGTGATATGTTATCCATTGTAAAACGTTTTCTCTGGTTTGAATTGTTGATCATATAAGTTATAGAAATCAGTAATAATAATCTATTATTACGTCATCATCATATTATATGGGGGAAGAAAATAATACTAACAATAATTTTGCTTGATACAAACAACAAACAAACAACAACTTGATTTTATTTATTAATTAATTAATTATTAGTAATTGTAACACTCCCTATTACAGGTGACGGGTTCAGCGTCAGGGGATATAATAACTCTAGACATAAGAGACTGTTCCAAACCTGTCAGTGTACAGAAACGGAATAACTTCGCTGTCACATCCCTCTCTAGCCACGAACAAAGGTGCTTCGTTGTTGTTTATTTTGTGAATTGGTTACTAAGTGATTTGGTTACTAAGTGATTTGGTAACTAGGCGATTTGGTTACTAAGTGATTTGGTTACTAAGTGATTTGGTTACTAAGTGATTTGGTTACTAAGTGATTTGGTTACTAAGTGATTTGGTTTCTAAGTGATTTGGTTACTAAGTGATTTGGTTACTAAGTGATTTAAACTTTTAAAACAATTAAAAAAATTTTAAAAAATGCAACCTTCTAAAACCAATGGGGCCCTCCCCGGGGTCATTACTCTCGCATTTGCGAGAGTCGTCCCAAAGGTGTGAAAGTAAGTCAAGATTTGTTCACACAAAGCTCTAGCATCGCTGTTTGTTGACCATCTGCCTTCACTGAAGCCTGAAGGTATGTTTTTAGAGAGTGGAGGCCGACCGTCAGCTTGGGATGCAGGGCCAAATGGTAAACAACGTCAAGGCCCCCTAGCCTTCCACATGGGCCATGTTGGTTTTGGCAGATACTGTGGTAATAAGATATGAAGTGAATGAGTGAAATGAAGTGAGTGAAAAGGGTATAAAAGAGGGAGAGTTGTAAGGTAGTTTAGGAATGGAAGGAAGCAGGGCCGGTACTACAAAAAACAGCTAGTAGTACTGTAAGATAGTAATAATAACCATTGATAATTAAATAATAAAGACAGCAATATAAATGGGGTGGACAATTTGCCCCAATCGGCCAAGATCGAAACAATAGAACTTTTGTGACCTATTTTGTCTCCTGTAAGTGAAAGTTTAAGAAGTTTGATATACCCCTGCCAGATCGGCATGTCCCCTGCCTGAAATCTTTTGCTAATGTACCATTTGGCAACAATATTAAAATAATTTATAATTTGTGAAGTGTGATTACAAACTATAAAATTAATTTTATTTGGGTCTTTGTATTTCTATCGATTCGCCTTTTGATAAAGTCTTCAAGTATTTTGATGAAGCTATTTGTGTGGATACAATGGAGATAGATATGAGGAATTGTTTCTAAGTATGTGTTACACAGGCTACACATGGGACTATCTGTAACAATTTTTACTAAGTGATTTGGTTACTAAGTGATTTGGTTACTAAGTGATTTTGTTACTAAGTGACTTGGTTACTAAGTCACTGAATGATGACTTTTATGTGTAATAACAGATATTCAATGCTCTACATTACACATTTACACTGGTCCTTTCAACTAAGTACCATTTATTTTAACTTTTTAACGTTTATTTATTTAGCACATAATATAAAGTTATTGAGACCCGTTGTAGATTGTTAAGTATTTATACTTTGCAGCTTAATTTATAAACTAACCCTTTCATTCTGCACAGAGTATGGTGCGGGCAGAAGGACGGGGAATGTTACACTATAAGTACTAGTCCGGACACCACGTCTGACACCACTCTTCTGTGTGACACCACTCTTTGTGGGGGAGATTGTGAGGCTATCTTCTCTGTTGTTGCTAAAAGTGGGATTGTCTCCACATCAGCCAGGGACAGGTTTGATCTTAACCTTACTATAACACTACACTTACTATACTACACTAATCACAATACACTTTGAGTTTGGTGATTCTAAAGTTTCTAAAGTTCTAAATAGAATTAAAGTCTAACGATCGCCAGGTCTTGACTCTTGATCTGATATCAGTGGATCCTCATACTTTATCATGATATTCATTTGATAGCAAGCTTCAATTAACGATAAATTGCAGGATTATCAGAAGATACGAAGTATGAACTTGTGTACAGACACTCTAAGAACCAAGTTTTTATGTTAGACAGTTATTTGCTTACTTTATTGGGCTGTGCCGGGATTTCATATTCTATTCCGGAATGTTTCGACCTATATATTAATTTATTAAATTGTTATGCGATTTTTTCAGTATTTAACGGAAGTCGATGAACGTTTTAATGACACATCAACAGTCATTTTATGATGACAAGTTTTAGTCGCTATAATAAAATCATGACCAGATCATTGTTCATATTTAAGACAATAATCGAATTGCTGTCTTTACATGAAATGAAAATGTGAGTTTTCGGTCTTAGATAATTCTTGCAGAAACAAGCCAAACAAAACTAAATCAAAGTACCAATAAAAACGGGACTTCCATGCTAAAATTTCTTTTTTCGCTCATGATAAGTACTTGGTTTCGTTATACTTATCAGACAATCACATATGTCGCCACACTTCGTTCTATTAACCTATTAAAAAGCGTTTAATATTTCTGCGTATCTAAATTGTTTCTAGAATTTCAAATGAATAGTGAATATATTATAGATAACGTTCCTGATTTTCCACATCTTAATCATTTTACCTCTAAAAACTACTCCTTAACACAGCTGAATGTCTGACTGAGAGATTGATGACGTCACGATGAAGTTACAACCCACGTGACAACCCACGTGACAACCCACTTGACAACCCACTTGACAACGCACGTGACATGATCCCTAAAGAACTGCGACTGTACGTGGGAGGGGATGGGCCGGAGAGGAAGGTGTTATTAGAGAACAAGAGCAGTAACACTGGACTGCTATTTCAGGGTGATGTGTGCGCTGAGCTCCGTGAGTTGGAATATCTTTAATTTAACTAATATCAATACAATTTAATTAATATTACAATTTTAACATTATTATAAACATGAACGCCCTGTAAATTACGCACTAAAAAGTCTTTATTTCCCCCAGACAGCAGTGAATTGTCCACGATAAAAGGTGCTTGTGAGAGGGTGGCTGATGTCTACGCTTCCATTGGAGTTCTCTCAATTCACAATGGTTAGTTTCCTTAGCTGATTACTTAAGGTAGTTTCGGTAAGTAAATTAATGGTTATTTGAATTATTTCAAATCAAATAGATCAAAATTATTTAAACTTTCTCCCCATTCAAACGTATCATAACAACCCACGTGACAACGCACGTGACAACGCACGTGATAATTTTCTCTAAAAATAATCCCAACATCTGAACCGCCTCCCCCTCAGAAGACGGCACGGATATGCGCTATTTAGGTCTGGTAACCACATGTAACTCAGCTGGTAAACTCACGGAATGTGAAATATTTTGTGTTACTGAAGTTATGTTCGTGGAAATAACTGAGGGTCACAGTGTGGATAGAACTGCAGCTTGCAAGAAGCTGATCACTCAAGGTTAGCTAATTGGTTGGTTACTTATTTAGCTAGATAGTTGATTAGCTAATTAGTTGAATAGTTAAATGGTTTATCAGTCGATTAGTTAATTAGTTGTTATTATCCTGATAATTTTTTACATATCAGGAACATTTTTCTTCGGAATGAAAGAGTCGGGGGAGAGCTATGATATAACAGTCAACATGCAGTCTAAACTAAACAAGGGACTTCAGAGCGACTTCAGATTCTTATGGTAAAGTTTTTAACTGGTTTGATTTGTTTGATTCTGTTCCAGGAATTTCGACCCATCTTGGATCCGATAATTTAGTTAACCTATAAAGCTTTAAGTTTTAACCAAGATATAAAATTTGGATTGTGTCACCCCACCCAGAAAAAGTAATGAACCCTTCTTCCCCTCCTCCAGAGGATTCTTTCAATTTTCCAATAAGATCATTAAGACCACTCCTTCACCGGAACAAGAGTTTGTTCACCCACCCTCTAAACTCACCTCATAGTCCAGGAACAGGAGTTTGTTCACCCACCCTCTAAACTCACCTCACATTCCAGGAACAGGAGTTTGTTCACCCACCCTCTAAACTCACCTCACATTCCAGGAACAGGAGTTTGTTCACCCCCCCTTAAACTCACCTCACATTCCAGGAACAGGAGTTTGTTCACCCACCCTCTAAACTCACCCCACATTCCAGGAACAGGAGTTTGTTCACCCACCCTCTAAACTCACCTCACATTCCAGGAACAGGAGTTTGTTCACCCACCCTCTAAACTCACCACCTCACATTCCAGGAACAGGAGTTTGTTCACCCACCCTCTAAACTCACCTCACATTCCAGGAACACGAGTTTGTTCACCCACCCTCTAAACTCACCTCACATTCCAGGAACAGGAGTTTGTTCACCCACCCTCTAAACTCACCCCACATTCCAGGAACAGGAGTTTGTTCACCCACCCTCTAAACTCACCACCTCACATTCCAGGAACAGGAGTTTGTTCACCCACCCTCTTAACTCACCTCACATTCCAGGAACACGAGTTTGTTCACCCACCCTCTAAACTCACCTCATATTCAAGGAACAGGAGTTTGTTCACCCACCCTCTAAACTCACCTCACATTCCAGGAACAGGAGTTTGTTCACCCACCCTCTAAACTCACCCCACATTCCAGAAACAGGAGTTTGTTCACCCACCCTCTAAACTCACCCCACATTCCAGAAACAAGAGTTTGTTCACCCACCCTCTAAACTCACCTCACATTCCAGGAACAGGAGTTTGTTCACCCACCCTCTAAACTCACCCCACATTCCAGAAACAGGAGTTTGTTCACCCACCCTCTAAACTCACCCCACATTCCAGGAACAGGAGTTTGTTCACCCACCCTCTAAACTCACCTCACATTCCAGGAACACGAGTTTGTTCACCCACCCTCTAAACTCACCTCACATTCCAGGAACAGGAGTTTGTTCACCCACCCTCTAAACTCACCTCACATTCCAGGAACAGGAGTTTGTTCACCCACCCTCTAAACTCACCCCACATTCCAAAACAGGAGTTTGTTCACCCACCCTCTAAACTCACCCCACATTCCAGAAACAAGAGTTTGTTCACCCACCCTCTAAACTCACCTCGCATTCCAGGAACAGGAGTTTGTTCACCCACCCTCTAAACTCACCTCGCATTCCAGGAACAGGAGTTTGTTTACCCACCCTCTAAACTCACCTCACATTTCAGGAACAGGAGTTTGTTCACCCACCCTCTAAACTCACCACCTCACATTCCAGGAACAGGAGTTTGTTCACCCACCCTCTTAACTCACCTCACATTCCAGGAACACGAGTTTGTTCACCCACCCTCTAAACTCACCCCACATTCCAGGAACAGGAGTTTGTTCACCCACCCTCTTAACTCACCTCACATTCCAGGAACACGAGTTTGTTCACCCACCCTCTAAACTCACCCCACATTCCAGGAACACGAGTTTGTTCACCCACCCTCTAAACTCACCTCATATTCAAGGAACAGGAGTTTGTTCACCCACCCTCTAAACTCACCTCACATTCCAGGAACACGAGTTTGTTCACCCACCCTCTAAACTCACCCCACATTCCAGAAACAGGAGTTTGTTCACCCACCCTCTAAACTCACCCCACATTCCAGGAACAGGAGTTTGTTCACCCACCCTCTAAACTCACCTCACATTCCAGGAACACGAGTTTGTTTACCCACCCTCTAAACTCACCTCACATTCCAGGAACAGGAGTTTGTTCACCCACCCTCTAAACTCACCCCACATTCCAGGAACAGGAGTTTGTTCACCCACCCTCTAAACTCACCTCACATTTCAGGAACAGGAGTTTGTTCACCCACCCTCTAAACTCACCACCTCACATTCCAGGAACAGGAGTTTGTTCACCCACCCTCTTAACTCACCTCACATTCCAGGAACACGAGTTTGTTCACCCACCCTCTAAACTCACCCCACATTCCAGGAACAGGAGTTTGTTCACCCACCCTCTAAACTCACCCCACATTCCAGGAACAGGAGTTTGTTCACCCACCCTCTTAACTCACCTCACATTCCAGGAACAGGAGTTTGTTCACCCACCCTCTAAACTCACCCCACATTCCAGGAACAGGAGTTTGTTCACCCACCCTCTAAACTCACCCCACATTCCAGGAACAGGAGTTTGTTCACCCACCCTCTAAACTAACCTCACATTCCAGGAACAGGAGTTTGTTCACCCACCCTCTAAACTCACCTCGCATTCCAGGAACAGGAGTTTGTTCACCCACCCTCTAAACTCACCTCACATTCCAGGAACAGGAGTTTGTTCACCCACCCTCTAAACTCACCCCACATTCCAGGAACAGGAATTTGTTCACCCACCCTCTAAACTCACCTCACATTCCAGGAACAGGAGTTTGTTCACCCACCCTCTAAACTCACCACCTCACATTCCAGGAACAGGAGTTTGTTCACCCACCCTCTAAACTCACCTCACATTCCAGGAACACGAGTTTGTTCACCCACCCTCTAAACTCACCTCACATTCCAGGAACAGGAGTTTGTTCACCCACCCTCTAAACTCACCCCACATTCCAGGAACAGGAGTTTGTTCACCCACCCTCTAAACTCACCACCTCACATTCCAGGAACAGGAGTTTGTTCACCCACCCTCTTAACTCACCTCACATTCCAGGAACACGAGTTTGTTCACCCACCCTCTAAACTCACCTCATATTCAAGGAACAGGAGTTTGTTCACCCACCCTCTAAACTCACCTCACATTCCAGGAACAGGAGTTTGTTCACCCACCCTCTAAACTCACCCCACATTCCAGAAACAGGAGTTTGTTCACCCACCCTCTAAACTCACCCCACATTCCAGAAACAAGAGTTTGTTCACCCACCCTCTAAACTCACCTCACATTCCATGAACAGGAGTTTGTTCACACACCCTCTAAACTCACCCCACATTCCAGGGACAGGAGTTTGTTCACCCACCCTCTAAACTCACCCCACATTCCAGGAACAGGAGTTTGTTCACCCACCCTCTAAACTCACCTCACATTCCAGGAACAAGAGTTTGTTCACCCACCCTCTAAACTCACCCCACATTCCAGGAACAGGAGTTTGTTCACCCACCCTCTAAACTCACCCCACATTCCAGGAACAGGAGTTTGTTCACCCACCCTCTTAACTCACCTCACATTCCAGGAACACGAGTTTGTTCACCCACTCTCTAAACTCACATCATATTCCAGGAACAGGAGTTTGTTCACCCACCCTCTAAACTCACCTCATATTCCAGGAACAGGAGTTTGTTCACCCACCCTCTAAACTCACCTCATATTCCAGGAACAGGAGTTTGTTCACCCACCCTCTAAACTCACCTCACATTCCAGGAACAGGAGTTTGTTCACCCACCCTCTAAACTCACCCCACATTCCAGGAACAGGAGTTTGTTCACCCACCCTCTAAACTCACTTCACATTCCAGGAACAGGAGTTTGTTCACCCACCCTCTAAACTCACCACCTCACATTCCAGGAACAGGAGTTTGTTCATCCACCCTCTAAACTCACCTCACATTCCAGGAACAGGAGTTTGTTCACCCACCCTCTAAACTCACCACCTCACATTCCAGGAACAGGAGTTTGTTCACCCACCCTCTTAACTCACCTCATATTCCAGGAACAGGAGTTTGTTCACCCACCCTCTAAACTCACCTCACATTCCAGGAACAGGAGTTTGTTCACCCACCCTCTAAACTCACCCCACATTCCAGGAACAGGAGTTTGTTCACCCACCCTCTAAACTCACCTCACATTCCAGGAACAGGAGTTTGTTCACCCACCCTCTAAACTCACCACCTCACATTCCAGGAACAGGAGTTTGTTCACCCACCCTCTTAACTCACCTCACATTCCAGGAACACGAGTTTGTTCACCCACCCTCTAAACTCACCTCATATTCAAGGAACAGGAGTTTGTTCACCCACCCTCTAAACTCACCTCATATTCCAGGAACAGGAGTTTGTTCACCCACCCTCTAAACTCACCTCATATTCCAGGAACAGGAGTTTGTTCACCCACCCTCTAAACTCACCTCACATTCCAGGAACAGGAGTTTGTTCACCCACCCTCTAAACTCACCTCATATTCCAGGAACAGGAGTTTGTTCACCCACCCTCTAAACTCACCTCATATTCCAGGAACAGGAGTTTGTTCACCCACCCTCTAAACTCACCTCACATTCCAGGAACAGGAGTTTGTTCACCCACCCTCTAAACTCACCCCACATTCCAGGAACAGGAGTTTGTTCACCCACCCTCTAAACTCACCTCACATTCCAGGAACAGGAGTTTGTTTACCCACCCTCTAAACTCACCACCTCACATTCCAGGAACAGGAGTTTGTTCACCCACCCTCTAAACTCACCTCACATTCCAGGAACAGGAGTTTGTTCACCCACCCTCTAAACTCACCACCTCACATTCCAGGAACAGGAGTTTGTTCACCCACCCTCTAAACTCACCTCACATTCCAGGAACACGAGTTTGTTCACCCACCCTCTAAACTCACCTCATATTCAAGGAACAGGAGTTTGTTCACCCACCCTGTTAACTCACCTCACATTCCAGGAACAGGAGTTTGTTCACCCACCCTCTAAACTCACCCCACATTCCAGAAACAGGAGTTTGTTCACCCACCCTCTTAACTCACCCCACATTCCAGAAACAAGAGTTTGTTCACCCACCCTCTAAACTCACCTCACATTCCATGAACAGGAGTTTGTTCACACACCCTCTAAACTCACCCCACATTCCAGGGACAGGAGTTTGTTCACCCACCCTCTAAACTCACCCAACATTCCAGGAACAGGAGTTTGTTCACCCACCCTCTAAACTCACCTCACATTCCAGGAACACGAGTTTGTTCACCCACCCTCTAAACTCACCCCACATTCCAGGAACAGGAGTTTGTTCACCCACCCTCTAAACTCACCCCACATTCCAGGAACAGGAGTTTGTTCACCCACCCTCTTAACTCACCTCACATTCCAGGAACACGAGTTTGTTCACCCACTCTCTAAACTCACATCATATTCCAGGAACAGGAGTTTGTTCACCCACCCTCTAAACTCACCTCATATTCCAGGAACAGGAGTTTGTTCACCCACCCTCTAAACTCACCTCATATTCCAGGAACAGGAGTTTGTTCACCCACCCTCTAAACTCACCTCACATTCCAGGAACAGGAGTTTGTTCACCCACCCTCTAAACTCACCTCACATTCCAGGAACAGGAGTTTGTTCACCCACCCTCTAAACTCACCACCTCACATTCCAGGAACAGGAGTTTGTTCACCCACCCTCTAAACTCACCTCACATTCCAGGAACAGGAGTTTGTTCACCCACCCTCTAAACTCACCTCACATTCCAGGAACAGGAGTTTGTTCACCCACCCTCTAAACTCACCACCTCACATTCCAGGAACAGGAGTTTGTTCACCCACCCTCTTAACTCACCTCTTATTCCAGGAACACGAGTTTGTTCACCCACCCTCTAAACTCACCCCACATTCCAGGAACAGGAGTTTGTTCACCCACCCTCTAAACTCACCTCACATTCCAGGAACAGGAGTTTGTTCACCCACCCTCTAAACTCACCTCACATTCCAGGAACAGGAGTTTGTTCACACACCCTCTAAACTCACCCCACATTCCAGGAACAGGAGTTTGTTCACCCACCCCTCTAAACTAACCTCACATTCCAGGAACAGGAGTTTGTTCACTCACCCTCTAAACTCACCTCGCATTCCAGGAACAGGAGTTTGTTCACCCAACCTCTAAACTCACCTCGCATTCCAGGAACAGGAGTTTGTTCACCCACCCTCTAAACTCACCTCGCATTCCAGGAACAGGAGTTTGTTCACCCACCCTCTAAACTCACCTCGCATTCCAGGAACAGGAGTTTGTTCACCCACCCTCTAAACTCACCTCACATTCCAGGAACAAGAGTTTGTTCACCCACCCTCTAAACTCACCTCACATTCCAGGAACAGGAGTTTGTTCACCCACCCTCTAAACTCACCTCACATTCCAGGAACAGGAGTTTGTTCACCCACCCTCTAAACTCACCTCACATTCCAGGAACAGGAGTTTGTTCACCCACCCTCTAAACTCACCTCACATTCCAGGAACAGGAGTTTGTTCACCCACCCTCTAAACTCACCCCACATTCCAGGAACAGGAGTTTGTTCACCCACCCTCTAAACTCACCTCACATTCCAGGAACAGGAGTTTGTTCACCCACCCTCTAAACTCACCTCACATTCCAGGAACAGGAGTTTGTTCACCCACCCTCTAAAGTTCGTGTCAGACCACACCGCTTGGTTTGTTAACCTGATATGTGGAAGTGTAAGTATCTCTACTATCTACTGTGGAACACACCAAGCAAGAGCTGCTGTCATCTCTAGAGTCAGCTCCGAGAGAGCTGGTGCTAGGTTCCAGGTGATTAGTCGATTAGTTAATTAGTTGATTAGTTAATTAGTTAATTAGTTAAATGTTTCTTTAGTCAATCAGTTAATCAGTTCAAAAGAAACTTAGTCAAATAGTAAATTAGTAATTCGGTTAAATAGTTAAATTAAGATAGCATAATTAGGATTATAATTATAATTATAGCATAATTAGAATTAGAATTAGAATTATAGTTTTAATAGAGCAATTAATCTTAGTCCAGCTCCATGATCCTTGGTCGACCAAAGGTAAACCAGTTTGTGCAGTCAACCTTGTGAACCGTTATGTGTCGTGAAAAAGTCTGCTGTAGAACAAATAATATTTAATATTTCTAAAAACGAAAAAAACTTGAAATAGATTTTTTATTAATAGAATAAACATTCAGCTGAGCATTCATTGATAATAAAATGTAATTTGCTTAAAGCTTATCGGCTGTTGCTTTCTTTTAGTTTGCGCTGTTATTTTTCTAAAAAGTTGAACGAATTATTCATGTTATCACCTCACCACAGAAAAAAGTTTAACCCTACCACAGAAAAAAGTTTAACCATACGTTAAATACGTTAAATCATACAATCAACCTTCATTGTTCATATAGAATAAACAGCTGAAAAACTAAAATGTTAAGTTAATAGATACTCAAAATAAGGTTTTATAACGAGTTCCCGTAAATCGCCTACCAACAGGAATAGAACGATGAATTACTGAAACATTTATTTAATAAATACGCGTTTTACAGGTTCGAGGTGTTTACTAAGCACGTGTTTTACAGGTTCGAGGTGTAGATGATAACGGGTGCGTTGCTAACTTTGTGGAGACAGAACAGTGCACCGTACTCAACGATAAGATCAGTAGTTTTATACAAATCAGGGGAAGTGTGCCTGTATTCTGGGAACAGTCTGGTATCCAGGTACAGTAAAACCCCGATCTACTAGTTAATTAGTTAACTATACTAAGTGAAATTTAGATTCAGATAATTTATTATTTGGATTGGGTCTGTGAAATAGACTGTTACATGAAACATGTAACTTACCGTCTAAAATAAAAATATGTAGTGATAATATTTTAGAAATGTAATCTTAATTTTTTTAAATACATCTTTTCTTTATATCTTAATTAAAATACCTCTTATCTTTACATTTCAGGTAGGGTCCCACAAACTGGCCATAACAAGAGGTTACGAACTGACACAAGTCGCTTACGACAAGTAAGGATCTTTACTTTCCCTTCACTATAGAATATGTTTAATCTTTTGGGGATAAATTTTGTGAATTAGTGTAGTGCAGTGCTGAAATTTATAATATTGTTGGAGAGCTGTGCTGAAATACGCACCGCATTGTATATTTTTAGCTAGTTGATATCAGCATTAGGGGGTGCAGTGTTTAAATACGGTTTCCTTTTCCTTTAACAATGATTTTTGCAGGCACATGACCCTGCTGAAGAAGGACTACGGACTGGTTATGATACTGAACTTGTTATCCAATAAACCAGACACTGATGAAAGCCATCTCAGTAACCAGTTCCAGGTGAGCAGCTGAATAGCAATCCAGTCATATTATATATGTTGTATGTTATAATATAATATTATTACACTACTAGTGTGACCCTTGCCCATGGCCGGGACTTCACTATCGCAGTTGAAATGCAAAAGTATAAACACGCCTATTATATTCGAAAACACGCATAACATTGTCGTATGAAAGTCGGTGAAAGTATGAACTTTCTCTATAGTCAAAACAAACCGCAATGAGTGCCCATGCCCCCCCCCCCCCCCAATAAGCTTATACTCTTATAGTATTACATAATAGTGAATCTTGCCGCCGATACACTGCCAAATAACCTAATTATGATTTATGTACCAACGCTGCATATGCAGTAATGGGAGAGAGAACGAGGAGGGAGAAAAAGTGAGCCATTTTATGTCACATTTGTGGTACAAAACCATCAATTAAACCACTTACCACCGGCCGATTTAAAGAAAATGCGCTCATTGGCATCGTCAGAGTTTTGTCGAGACTATACCGAACAAACCAGTCCCATAAGTTTTACCGTTTTCTTGATAAGCCGCTCGGAAATTACACGCGACAGACAGACAGACAGACACACATTTTGAGATTATTAGTATAGATGTAGGAGCTAGGAGCTGTATTTGTAGTTTCTCTGTTCTTGCCTCCCTTTACGATACATACCTCTCAGGCGCATCAAATGGACAGTGTGCACGAGGATGTGATGATGAGGAACTTTGACTACCATGCCGTGTGTAAGGGGAACAGAACCGAGCCTATACAGTCCCTTTACAAGGACATTGAGACTTTTGTAGGCTTCTCTGGCATCTTCTGCCAGAACGGCAACGAGTGTATTGGGTAATTATATTTCAGATTATAATTAGTTATACTTATATTACTTATAATTAATTGCTATTTGAAGCCTTTTTGTAGCTTCTGTGTTAGTGTACAATGAGTCATTGTAAGGTTCAGTGATGAAGGTCATGATAAAGTAGAATAATAATAATGATAATACTAATAGCAATCTGACGATCATTATATTCCTCCATCCTCTAGTTTCCTTTATAGAGGCCTAGAAACCTAAACTTTAAATATTAATTGTGCTAATTTGCATCAGAATGGCACTAACAGTAGAATCAATCAATAACTCCAATTCTCAAGTACGTATTGCATATTACCGCCATATATCAACTTGTGTATTACAACAGTTAAAAGTACGAATGAAGAAAAAATTGTCTGTATTATAGAAATTCGTATCGAATTAAACAGTAAGTTACAAACAGATAACTTTGTATTACACAACACACGATGAGTAGAAAAGAACCAACTTGTAATTATTAGCGTAATTTATAGAATAGTTAGCAATGTAATTATTGACGTAATTATAAACAGAATTTTTAGCGTATCTATTATCGAGCCATTGTCACGTCTCGCTAAGTTTTGAGCGGAAAAACGTGTTCTCCAATCCAATTTAAAGATCATAAATGTAATGTTTAACAAGTTATTGTAACTAACTTAAAAAAACTTACTAAATTAGAAAAAAAAAACTTACGAAATCATTAATGACTCGGTTAGTTCAATCGTAGTTTTAAACTAAAAGACTGTAAAACGATTAAAAACTGATTGAGATCAAACAAAACTGTTCGTATTCAATTATTTGAAGTTTACAATTACTATGTCCTCGGTTACATGTTACACACTGAAGAGTATTCAGTCCAATCAGCTGCAAGTTTGCCCGTCGTGAAAGAACTTGAAGTGGGAGATAAACCTTTCTGTCACTGTTGCTCCTTTGAAATCTCCTGCGGATGTGTTTAATTTAGAAGACAAGTGTAAATAGAATAATTCTTTAATTACTGCAATAATAGATAACTAATATTAATAAAAACAATTACTGTTAAAAGGTATCCAAACGTGTTATCAGTACATCACAATATAAAAGCATAAAGCTACTAAAACATTTAAAGCTTACCTAGAATTTCCCATGTCTGTTTCAGTTCTTCAACTAACTCCACGGAGACCGTCTTGTTGAAGAACTTCTCTCCTCGTAGCAGGTCCCAGCGGCTGAATGTTGTTCCGTTCCCCTGCTCACATTCACAGTCCTCTGTACTGTTGGTTTCTACCACTTCATCTTTCTCTTTTGGTTCAGGGGTGCAGCCAACGTCGATCTCAGTGACATCTCCTGATTTCTCCTCAAGAAGCATGTCTTCCCATTTCAGATACCTACTTCGTCCATATTTATCTTCTACTTCTGAACAGAGACCTCCGTCCGCCATTTCGTTCACTTCAGCAGCACTCAGTTCTTTATCAAACATGTTCACCTTGAACAGTTCACCACCAAATGGAAAAATAAAGTTACTTCCGTATGAGTTAAACTCATTGCCCAGTATAACATACCCGTCTAGACCAAGCCTCTTACCAGAGGGGGTTGTGACTGATCCGAGAAGTAACCCATCATAGTACACACTAACTGTTCTAGTAGTGAGACTCCACGTATTGCAGACATGTCTCCATGTTCCTAGCTGCTCAGTTACCTTGCTCCTCGTATCTACATAGGTGCTCAACGTGCGGAAGAATCCGTTATCTGATGAATAAATCTCATTGACATCACTAGATGTTCCGTAAGCAAACCAGTACTTTCTTTCACCAGATAGTATCTTCTTTACCCATCCGCACAGCGAGTAGGATTCCTGTACTGGTTCCATTCTTGGCTTGAAGAGAACGTAGTCCTGGTTTGTAGCTCCGAACTTTAATCCCCTGTAGCGTCTTTCTACCAGTCTTTGTCCGGGCTCGTCGACAGATGAATCTACGGCGAGGAGTAGTCCGAGTATAGCGAGAAGAGTTGAAAAGCACAACATAGTTAAAACAACTGTTCGAATGTGAGATCTCCTCCCGAATACTTGGATTTATAAATACAATATCACCTGATTGTTGTGTGACGATAGTAACCGAGTTTTGACTTTCGAGCTGACGATAATCCAGTTGGCAGAGCTGTGGTCTACTCAGTGTTATGTTTGGTTATACCAAGCATTATTATTACCTTATATAGACATAAACAGTAAGCTGTTCATATCCAGACAGCTGCTTCTCGTGACTCAACAGATTTCGAAATATCGTATTTTATTATCACAATAATACAGTAAATCGGAATAAAATATAGCTACGTTGTTTTGCTAGAGAAAATTACTTAGTTTTTATAGTAAATAGACTCCAACATACTGAAGTTCTAACAACATATTATATCCCACAATGTTTACAGCTTTACTGGGTTATTTAGTATGCAGTAGGTATTGAGAGATGGTTGAAATTCAATTTCTGAAGTGTTCTACTAGTACAGTAAAATGTTTGCTGTTCATAATCTAGTCTGTAGAAAGATCTTATTGATGGGGAGATTAAGCAGCTACCCACTCTTAAATTGTGTCCACTTTTAAAATCTTACATCCATCCTTTATTATTGAACTCTAACTATTCAAAGTTTGGGCACATTTGACGAAGACTTCACTGCACTCAAGATGAAATAATTAATAACTTAATTAATGAGTTGATTTAATATTTAATGAAATAATCATCCTACTAATTACTATAATTACTATGATTAATCCCAACTCTCCTGACCCAGCGTACAGGAAGGAGTACTAAGAACTAACTGTCTGGACTGTATAGACCGGACCAACTCAGTACAGACCTTCATCTCCAACAAGATCCTTGTAAGGCAGCTGGAGCACATCTGCGCGGTGCCCCAGATTGAGAAGTTTAGCGCCGCGTTCGACAAGTGCTGGCATACCAACGCTAACCTGGTCTCACGTACTTACTGCGGAACTGGTGCTCTTAAAACAGCTACTGGCAAGGTAGGATCTTGAGGGTTGCGACGTAATTTGTGAAGATCTATTTTTAAAAGTTTTAAAAAGTTAATAAAGTCTAGAAATCCAGGCGTGAAAATAGTGAAATTAGTTTATGTTATCAATTGTATCAATTTTTGAATTATTTATGTAATTAATTAATTGCGTTTATTAAATTTGCTGTAGTTAATGACCAGCAAGTTGCTGAGCGTTTGATTTGACTCTTGTCTCTTGTTAGTCAGCTACTGATTCGGCGATTAAGTCCCTGGCCCGTGATCAAGTAAGAGCGTGACTCTGCCACTGTACTGCTCAATTTATCCGCACTATCCAAGAAGACTGACCTCTAGGGGTAGACATTAGGCTCATGTTAGGGTAATGTCAGGTTAAGGTTAGAGTGTCTAAAGTCTACACTCTACCCTAACTCTAATTCTAACTCTACTTCTAACTCTAAAGTCTACCCTCACTTGTCGAACTTCTTAGATACTGCCATTTTCTAATACCTCATTCGCTCTCTGTCCCTGTGTAAAGCTTAAACTGAAAAAAATATGGCCTTAAATTTCAAGCTCCTCTTTTGAGTATCCTCATTATAGAATATTAAATATTTGGCTGCTGAAAGTTAAAGTTTTATAAGTGGAGCTCGAAATTTAAGGGTCTGCAATTTGTATGCAGTGTTTTACTTTTCGGTTTATTCCTGTAATGTTCGTGGATTCTTATGTGAGTTATGCTTATGCTGATAATATGATATGTTTATTTATAATGTGCAATCATCAATCAATGTAATATTATCATGTTAATGTGTGTGATGTTTTTGGCTGAATGTGAAGCAAAATACAGCTGTGTAACTTAATTCATCACTGCAAAAAGCATTTTAGGATTATTAAACTTGAATCCCTCGCACGTGACATCACACCCCCTCACGTGACGTCACACCCCCTCACATGACATCACACTCCCCTCGCACGTGACACCACACCCCCTCACGTGACGTCACACTCCCCTCGCACGTGACAACACACTCCCCTCACGTGACGTCACACTCCCCTCGCACGTGACATCACACTCCCCTCGCACGTGACGTCACACTCCCTCACATGACATCACACTTCCCTCGCACGTTACGTCACACTCCCCCTCGCCCCTTGAAATCACACTCCCCTCACATGACGTCACACTCCCTCACGTGACATCACACTTCCCTCGCACGTGACGTCACACTCCCCTCGCACGTGACGTCACATTCCCCTCACATGACATCACACTCAGATGAGTCGTCTCACGGACGCTACACGGTCAGTTAAGCGGACGATTCAGAACAATTTCCTGGACGACAACAGACAGGAAGCTATCGAGGAGTTCCTCATGTATCCTGAGAAACCGTTACCTCCTGTCATTTCTAAGTGTGAACGATTCTGTGAGTTGTTCGTTTGTGTTTCAGGCGAACAGATTTAACACCTACTTTTTATCCCTGTGTTTTATTTTAGAACTACTTTAAGAAATTTGTACCTGTCATTTCCTAGTATGCCCTTAAAGCCTTAATCGGCAGACTTACATGAAATACAAGAATCGTGCCACTGTATACAAATTAATTGTTAAAAAAGAGTATAATAATTTAGTAATTTGGCTAATTCCTGATAATAACCATGTAAATTTCAGTACCCAAGTTGTTTGTGGAGGGACTGCTTTCTGAATCACGTGACTACTGTTCTAAACTTCCTATTCGTGTTGCGGTCGGTACTTGGAACAGCAACGGAGGTAATGTCAAGCCTCTTATCTTTAATTATTAAGAAACTGTTTATCTTTAATTATGTTTTTATAAATTAACTTCATAGGGTTGATAATTATGGGTATTATTTCTTTATGTGGACAGTAATAATTTTTCAAGAATCTGGGGCGGGTGGGTACCAAAAAGTAAGATATTGTAAAATGTTATGTTTTCCCGGGTAAGATATTGTAAAATGTTATTAAGCAGTTACATCACTGCTTATAATGTGATAACATTATTTTCACAACTTTGAGTTGTGAAAATAGTTTTATCCAACGAGTTTGACGAGTTGGATAAAACGAGTTATATCCCGAGGTTTGACCGAGGGATATAACTCATGTTATCATATTATAAGCAGTGATGTAAATGCATTCTCTGATGATCTACGAAATGATGTTAGCGAATGCAGCATTTACATCGGAAATTAACGACCGATAATATTACTACATAGAACATTCCAGAGTCAAACTTTCTAGAGGACACATCCTTATCTCTTAAAATTGTTACAGGTCGCTGAGATGTTGCTAATTATTTTAAATTGGTCAAATAAGCTCATTGAAGCTCACACTCACACAAAACTTGCCACAAATGGTTGACTACTTGTTATTGACATTCTGTAAAATTTTGAAGCAAAAATATTTATCAGAACATAAGTTATACCACTTTCTGTTTTTAAAATAATTAGCAACATCTCAGCGACTAAGGATGGACCAGGGAGATAACAATAGTTACATCCCTGGCCCTCCTATTTACCTGTTAATCACAGCCTAAATGTAGTACCAGGGAGATAACAATAGTTATCTCCCTCCCAGTTATTGCACCCCTATTTAATGCATTATATTAGCGTAAACAAGAGTGAGATAACAACTTTTACATTATGGACAGTTACACACTGATCATGAGAGAATAATTATTATCTCCCAGGTAAGATATTTTGTAAAATATTGTTATCTCCCAGGTAAGATATATTGTAAAATATTGTTATCTTCCAGGTAAGATATATTGTAAAATATTGTTATCTCACAGGTAAGATATATTGTAAAAAATTGTTATCTCGCAGGTAAGATATAATATTGTAAAATATTGTTATCTCCCAGGTAAGATATATTGTAAAATATTGTTATCTCCCAGGTAAGATATATTGTAAAATATTGTTATCTCGCAGGTAAGATATATTGTAAAATATTGTTATCTCCCAGTTAAACTATATTGTAAAATATTGTTATCTCCCAGGTAAGATATATTGTAAAATATTGTTATCTCCCAGGTAAGATATTGCGGGATGATAAAGATAAACTGGCAGACTGGTTACTGGACGCCCCACGAGTAGCGTGCAGTAACCAGTTCAAGCTAGGAGGTATCTGTGACGATCTACTAGGACTAGACGCAACTGAGCAGCCTGCAGATTTAGGTTTGAGGCTATTTTTAGTAACAGGATCAGTGAGGATGTTGATAACCAATTTCTGTCAGCAATTTTGTAGCTATCTTCCGTGACCGTCAATCAGTTGCGACCATGTCCGGTATTTTGGGGCTTGTTACAAGCGATCGAACAGCCACTACGACTATGAAATATATAAAACTCCCGCCAGTCCCTTCAAGTAAATAACGTTGAAATTCAGGCAACAAAACACCGTCCTACGGTTACGTAGATAAAGGAGCCAGCTACCAGGACGACCCTGATGTTATTGCTATAGGGCTTCAAGAACTTGTCGATCTAACTGCTGGAAACATCGTCTCTACTAGGTTATATATTTACTTACTTACTTAATAATTAATTTTAAAGAAGAGTTTCGAAATAATAATAGTCCTATTTAGTTACCCATGATAACCGGGAACGAAGTAATTTTTCTCTAAATCTATCGCTCAATCGTGTTAATTACACTGTTGGACGTTGTTATGTTATTTTATCTAATGTAAAATTGATATAATATTTAATCCACATTCCATTTCAGTCAGCGTAAAAGAGGAATGTGGAGTACCAGATTCCAGGAAATTCTGTGTAGGGACTCAAACTACATTCTTCTGTCTTCAAGACAACTTGTGGGCGTGTGCCTCTTTGTCTTCATAAAGGCCAACCATCTTCAACACTGCACGTTAGTTTCAACATTGTGTAGAATATGTAGAATACAATATGTAGAATATTCAATATAATATGTAGAATATGTGTAGAACTGCCGTGTTGTGTATACCAATGATTTTCCATCCTCTACTGCGGTACACTGTCTTCACTGTGTTTATTTAATATAGAATTACATCATCATGCCAGTCTAGGAATTCCGAAAGCGAAAGTTCCATTTCTAGCGGATGAATGTGAACGAGTTCTTTAGCAAGACTTAGAATTTGTTTATGCTTATTGTTTAATTTGATTCGCTTCGATATGTGACACTCATATTACATATTTAACTCAGCCTCCCATTCATTATGTTATCTTCTGTTTCTTTTGCGATAGTGTAACGTGATGGTTAGCTGCACTGACTAGCTTTACCTATACCTATCAATAGCTAGCACAATCTAGCGATAACTATCTCGTTGCACCATCTAGAGGTAACTAGCGCTTATAGTTAGTTTGTGCAAGATTTCGGAATTATTACTCGTCCGCTGGCAGTTTTTAATTAGTACCAACTAATGATCTATAATGTAATAACTTATCAAGTTAGTTCTTAAAACGTTGCTTTATTTAGTTTTTAAGAATATTATATTATGTTATTTTACGTGCAATGATTAATTAATCAGTTGTTCTAGATTGCTGAGCCGAGTCAACATATTATAAGTGCAGTGGGTGCGGAATCGCACTATTACCTGTTTCCCGCACCTATAATAACTTAAAGCCCCTTCCCACACTATATTCGCACTAACAGTCGTTTTCCGCAATTTGGAACTTCCCGCCCAATTCTTCACAATTTTAGGTACAGAATTCCACAATCTATCGAAAAATTGGGGCAAGTTCAGTTACAAATTACTGCAGAGATCCTTGTTACCATTTCTTGTTACCACGTGACCGTATTCACCGTTATTGAATCTCTTATTGATTAATCGTTTGCTTTCACACTAATTGATTGCTAATCATGGATCGTTGTTTAAAACGTTCTGCACCGCCACTATCCGACCCTAGCAGTAGTTTGTCGTCTTCTGAAAAGCCTTCAGTTTAAAAATAGCTAAACAAGAAGATATTACGGCTGCATTTAGAGCTCAGGAATTTAGTTCACATAATATTACCTCTACTACTACTTACTTACTTACTTGTACTTGAAAAGGTCTCCTCCTAGTCGTTGGAGTGGCCTGCACCACATAGTAACTCTATTACCTAGGCGTACGTAATCAATTTTTGCCAATTTTCTGCTGTGTTGTGTATACCAATGAAATTTCATCCTCTACTGCGGTATACTATCTTCACTGTGTTTATTTAATATAGAATTGCATCATCATGCCAGTCTAGGAATTCCGAAAGCGAAAGTTCCATTTCTAGCGGATGAATGTGAACGAGTTCTTTAGCAAGACTTAGAATTTGTTTATGCTTATTGTTTAATTTGATTCGCTTTGATATTTTACACTCATATATATAACTCAGCCTCCCATTCATTATATTATCTTGCTGTTTCTTTTGCGATAGTGTAACGTGATGGTTAGCTGCACTGACTAGCTTTGCCTATAGCTATTAATAGCTAGCACAATCTAGCGATAACTATCTCGTTGCACCATGTAGCCCTAACTAGCGCTTATTGCTAGTTGGCGTAAGATGTTGGAATTATTACTCGTCCGCTTGCAGTTTTTAGTTAGTGCCAACTAATGATCTATAATGTAATAACTTATCAAGTTATATCTTAAAACGTTGCTTTATTTAGTTTTTAAGATTTAAGAATATTATATTATGTTATTTTACGTGCACCGGTGGGTGCGGAATCGCACTATTACCTGTTTCCCGCACCTATTCTTACTTAAAGCTGCTTCCCGCACTATATTAATTGCACTAGCAGTATTTTTTCGCAATTTGGAACTTCCCGCACAATTCTTCACAATTTTAGTTATAGAATTCCACAATATATCGAAAAATTGGGGCGAGTTCAGTTACAAATTACTGCAGGGATCCTTGTTACCATTTCTTGTTACCACGTGACCGTATTCACCGTTGTTGAATGTCGTATTGATTAATCGTTTGCTTTCACACTAATTGATTGCTAATCATGGATCGTTGTTTAAAACGTTCTGCACCGCCACTATTCGACCCTAGCAGTAATTTGTCGTCTTCTAAAAAGCCTTCAGTTTAAAAATAGCTAAACAAGGCTGCATTTAGACCTCAGGAATTTAGTTCACATAATATTACCTACGCGTACGTAATCAATTTTTGCCAACTTTTACCCCCAAAATAAGACAATAATTTCGCATTAAATCAACATGCCTACCTTCTCTTGTTTTTTACTTTCTTTTTTATGCAACTTTATTAAAACTTTATTTTTCAAGCAGGAAGGCAGTTGGGTTAAAACAATAATATTGATATGGTGTTGTTGTGTTGTGTTGATGACACTAATGATCATGATAAAATATACGAGAAGTATCTTAATTACCTGGATGGTGAATTGAAGAAAGAATTGGACAAGAAGGAGGAGGATGACGAATTTTCTTCAAACCCCAAATCTTGGATAACTGACCAGTGTAAAGCTGACAAATTTATGGAATGGTTTGACAAAGAAGAAAAAGAAGAAAAAGAAAATGAAAGTAAAGAGACTAACACCTCAGAAACGAATAAGCTGAGTGCCAAAGATTCCTTTTACGTCGATTTGGTGAAACATATTTTAAAGGAGGTCAAGAAAAATAGAAATGAACATTATGATGCGGATGGATTGCAATATGGCTGCTCCTCTAGCTTCGTTATAGATATTGTGGATCTGAAATTTGACTGCGAAAGAGGTAAGAGTGAGGATGAGACGATCGCTGAAGAACGCTATTCACGGAAATGGCTTCATACAAAGACGCACCTCGGAAATATTGCCAGAGCACTGGTGACTGAAGAGCATCTTAAACTTTTGGACGATCCACTGAAAACAAGTTTAAGGTTGGGGGTTTATATTTATGAACGAAAACTATACAAGATTATGCTTCAACTTCATGATGATCTTCACAATGTTCCTAGAAAATTTGTCATGGGTTTGCTAGACAATTGCATGTCTCTGAAAGAAATCGAATTTCTTATGGACATCGAAGATACGGATGTTCTGCTAGATCTACAAGCCGGAAAATTCTGCGATGTTGTGGCAAGGCCTGTTTACAAGAAACTTTACCTCGAAAGAATATTTTGGAAAGAGCGGGTATATGACGATTTCCTTTCTTCATTTCTAGCTTTGTTGAGAAGGTTGCTATGTTTGGTACTCTGGAACATCTTGTACCCGTTCAAGATAGCCTATTACAAAGTTAGAGAGAAGAAAAAGCAAGAATTCATACCTCATCACCGACTTTTTTCACCTATCTCATGCTTCATTGCCGATATTGTCAGTTACTTCATCATGACTTTTTTCATCTGCTTTGTTTTGCTAGAAATACACCCAGACCAGAAAAGCACGATAGATCTGATATCTCGATATCGCCAAGGAAATGTTACCTTAGACCACCCTCGACTTAGCATCGGAACTGTAGATGGAATAATAATGGTTGCACTTGAGAAAAATCCATTTTCCCTCAGTTTATGGACACTGCTGCTGTGCTTTATTTCGAGGATTCTTATTGAATTCAATCAGTTAATCAACAACCGCCCCCATCAAGGCTCTAGAAACCGCGGATTTTGGAAAAAGATTCTGGGATTTTGGAAAAAGATTCTGACATACTTCAAAAGTGATATGAACAAGGTGGATGTGGTTATGATCCTTTTCTTGTCATTTGCCTTTATAATCAATTTTCACTACTGTTTCTCTACACAGTCAGTGTATGGGAGGGTGTGTGTGAACAATTCAAGCTGTGACGAAACTCTAGACTTCACAACTGAGACCCGTCGAGTGGTATACATGACAAACCTTTACAGTGTTGCCCTCTTACTAACTTTAGTGCGGCTCTTTCACGATATCTTTCTCTTTATTCCCATCGTTGGACCAATCATGCAGTCCATGCAGAAGATGATAAAAGACGTATTCAAAGTGGTCATGATCTTGACATTCTTCTCTGTAGGGTTCTTTATCCCTCTTTTTGCCATTGTACAGAGCTACATTGCTGTGCATCAGCTCGAGGTCGGTGAGAATCAAGTATTCCAAAGTATGGATACTCCAGTTAACGGATTTATCACGATGATCCTGAGCATCATGGAAGGTAAACTTACGTATTCTGAGGACATATACGAGCAAGAAGATCAGGCAACGAAATTCTTCTTCTTCTTCTTTATGATCTTCTACTTCTTGATCTTTGGGCTTCTTTGTCTGAATTTGCTCATCGCCCTCATTTCAAATAGGTACTCGACTATGATGGAAAACAAGAATAAAAACTGGAGATTTTCTCAGTTTACCCATATTGTGGATTACTTGGCACAGAAGAAAAAGATGCCATTTTTCTTTCCATTCAGCCTACTCTACTTTTTCTTTCGCATTTTTTCAAAATCTTGCACTAAAGATCAAACAGTAGAAGATAATATAGAAAGTAAAGAGTTCATAAAAATACCAATAGAAGATAATACAGAAAGGAAAAAGTTCATAAAAAGACTAATGAAACGTAAAGAAAACGCTAAAAGTAAAGATAAAGATGAAGAATGTCAGGAGGAGTTACTAAAGAAGTAAAAGGACAGTTGAAAGAGGAAGATAGGTAAATGCTTCTGTTGACTCTGCTCCATTAAAAGAGTCAGTTTCTAACCCCCAAACTGTTCAGAACTCAATATGCCAATGTTGCATTCGATAAAGATATTATGTGTGTATATCATATACTGCTAGTGTTGAAGAAATAAGTGTCTTAGCTGTAAAACTTTGCAATTTGCATGCTATTTAGCTACTAGTCAATGAAACAATAAGTTTTTAATGAAACAAAAAGTTTTATTTTATATTCTTTTAATCATATCCTCACCTGAACAATAAAAATTGACTAAAAAGTGTGTTTTGAGATAATCGAGGAAAAATGATTTCGGAATGTATAGTTACTTTAAAGGGATCATGAAGTGTCCCCGACTTAATCGTCAAAACATTTCACATATACTATCACATAGAAACACTAATATAAGAATAGGGCTCGGAATTCCCAGATTCGTAACTTAATTAGGTCGCGTGTAATCGATACAGGAAGATCGCCCTAATTTGTTGGATTGCGGCTAACTGTCAGACACTGCAATAGAAACAGTGTTAAAATGCACATTTTTATTCATGTGCTGTGGCGCCAATTTAATTGATAAAATCTCCAAATTAACGACACTTGATAGATTTGACTTTTATCTTTCAAAAATTGTGGCTGTATAATGTGCATAATATACACAAGCGTCAAATAATTGTCTTATAAGTTTACGTACTGCTGTGTAATGTTGTAGGAAGAAAAACATTCAATTACCAAACGCTAAATAACAATACACGTTAGTAAGAACCTATTACCTAGACTAACTTTAAAGTATAATTACTTTTTTCTTGATACAAACAATTACTTCAACTTGTTAAGTTCATGGCAAAATATGTCCATCATCAGTTCCGATACTGATAAAACCCGTATACCAGAATGTCTATCAGTCACTAAACTGAACCCATCAATCCCTTTTCCAATCAATTTTAGGAGCAGTTCTCTGCACCCTGCCCTTTCAAGTTCCTCCATGTTCAACCCTCTCTGTGCAATGAAGAAATCGATTACACGTCCGGAACCGTGCTCCATGACTGTATAGACGCAATACTTCGCTGTGTGACCGGGTGAATCGAACTGCCCGTCTCCTGTAAGAATCAAGTTTGACTTTCCTCGAATACTTTCAACAGCACGATCTCTCATGTCAATAAACATGGAATACATTGCAGGAAACAGCCAGACTTTCTCGTGCTCTTGGTAGGAATTAAAACTCATTGTAGGCATCTTCAATGTTTTAAACAAATTAGACAGTACAGTCTGCCCGATACCACAAAGGCTAGATGCCGTATTCACAAGTATATTCATATGAAGAAGTCTGCCCGAATTAGAAGAGGAAGTCCAAACAACTTGGTGACTTAGTTTTCCAAAACACTGATAATTAACATGTGCCACATATCCTATCATATAGCTGCTCGGAAGAGCCTCAGCAGACGAGCCACACAATGGGCACCATTTAAAAAGCGAAAATAGGAGCTCTACTGAGACGATCACCCAGGAAAATTCAGCAATTCTCTTTCTATAATCTTTTCTCCGCTGAGGCCCTTGAGTGGTCAAGTTGGTCTGAGCAGTCCTTCGACCAGGTTCTGGGAAGTCAGGATCATTATCTTCGTCTGTTATTGATTCATCGTCGTCAGAATCAGAAATCAACAAAGCATTATCGCATTCATTCGGATCAGGCTGAATGACGACATCTGCAAAATCTGAGTCGACTGTTTGTGTCTGAGCTACTCTTGAAACAGCGCAAGTTGATCCAAATAGTCCCAGTAACAATCTAAATCGTCATCAGTAGATGAACCTTCATCGCTAGAATCTTTGTACGGCTCAGATTCTTCGTACGGCTCAGATTCTTCGTGCGGCTTAGATTCTACTGGCTTTATCATCGACCGTCTGGGTCGTTTCTCGGCTGGCTGGCCCGGTATATATAGACAAATTTCGCCTGTATTGGGGTCGGTGTTGGGGATGCATGTGTCCTTCAATCTCATGCGATTACGTGTGACATTCCCTGTCTTTATAACGTAGTTCTCCCAGTCCTTCTCTTTGTAGGCACAGTCGCTGAAGTGGTCGCTGCAGACTCTATAGGTTTTTAACCTTCTAACGTCATGGTCGACCCTGTTCACTCTTTTATCCCATGCTGTTCGACGTTTTGCATCGCTTGGGACGGAATGAAAAACCAGAAAGCTTCTCCTACTACTGGTGTCTCTTCCCTCACGGTTGTTACAACCTCCAACTGCACAATGATTTACCATCAACCGTCTTTTGATCAATTTTAACTAGTAAAGAGTTGTTGCAGTGATAAGGGAATGAAGCTAAACTACATAATATATTTAGTAATGTCATAATTGCAAAGCTTGCGCTACTACTATACTCTGAAAACACGTGCCGCAGTCGACAACAAACACGAAAATTTGTAACAGCTCTGACTTAGTTATTAATTCTTTAATTGGAAGATAAGACTTTTATCTACGGGGTACGGACTACGGATACATATGTTAGGTTCGTGTCTAAACATTACACGTTATTCAAGAAAGCACACATTCGCAAGCTTTAGAATACAAAGACCGTAACAGAACGAAAGTAAACAAATTGAACACTGATCGTGCTACATCCAAATTCCATGAAGTGAGCTGTCTTTAATTGCTTGTAGGAACTAGATTAATCGCTGTACACCAAATTTAGGAAGATATGTGAAGTATAATGGTTTATACCTGATGGTAATCTTGTCGGTTCAAAAAAAACCAACAGAAAACTTGTTATGGACGATTAAAATCAGGTGTTTTTACACATGCCGTATATGCTATCCTGTCACCTAGCCGCAACCTGGAAAAATGTAATTGATATGCCCCATATTATCTCAGCTTGAGAAGCAATTACGACGGAGCTATTTTGAGGTTGCGGCAGAATTACCAAGTCTAGCACACTACCCAAGTTTCGAGTATTTTTGAAAAATTCGCAAATTTACACTTCATGATCTCTTTAAGAGTACTGGAATTATATTTTTGGAGAGATTGGGATTCACAGGCAAAACATGGATCAAAATATCATATTTAATTGATATTAACCGTCCAGGAATTATAATTTGAGATAGACTCATTCTTTTAACTGATGAGCAGCATTTCAAAGTTCTTATAGTCAGCCATATCGACATGGTCTCCTTCAATGCATACGTATTGTTTTAGAAAAAACAACTTCTTAGGAGCCCAATATCTTCATTTTGTAGTTTTTTATTGCATGAAAAGATGATATTTTTGTTTTCAAATAACAGGTGATATTTTAAAAGTAGAGTTTTACCTTTTTAAAGCAGACTTAAAAAGGTCAATATGCACATTTTGATAAAAAGTATTTGATACAATTTTGATTTTTAAAAGAGAGCACGTCTACAATATGCGCCCTTTGGATTTGTGAAATCTTTGGTAAAGTTAAGTCAGTTATAAAAGATCCAAGTCTTCATGACGTACCCTTTTAAAATAGTTTGAGTATCCCAATATTGAGCAAAATGCCCCCATAGTATGGCCCTATAGATCGCTAAGTCGACTAATACCCTTTCATTTTGAAGGTGACGAATTTACCACGATTTAGTTAACTAGACGTCATATACTTGAGAAATAGAATTTTCTATGATGATTATTGTATAATATAATCATTTAATAAAATTTTGACATGGCATGAGGTTGCTGCAATGCTGCAAGTTATATTTTGTTATGATACATCATACTACAGCTTTTGTAAGGCCTGGTTACAATTTTTGAATTTTGTCGAACGCTGTTGTAAGTTCCAGTTATTTGGTCCTCCTTCCTTTTAATGGCAATGGTTATTTTTATAAATTATTTGCGGTGATTGGACCTGCAGGTGAACGTAGTGAGCATGAGATTTTGCCGTTATGTGTTCCATATTGTACCTACACTTGGATTTTAAAAGACGCATTAAAAAGGGATTTTAAATTCAAATGGTTCACACAGTGTGAATAAATAACTCAACAAAAATATCAATGAAATTGAGGAAAAAATGATACAACCGTGGCCGTATGCAACTAAACATCATAAAATTATATGATCCTAGATACAGATCCCACCCTCAAAAAAAGAATCATCGAAAACGAATGAGAAAATGTAAAGTAAGAAGTAAGAAGAGTCAGTTCAAAAAGAGGGCTTCAATCTTTACCTTTATTATATTTTTTTGTGCTGTGAAAGCTTTCTGTGACTTTTTTTCCCTCAACCTTAAAAAACAGCTTAAACTTGAGTTGTGACGGAAGTAGAAATCCCCATCGTCTTTGCCTTCCTCTAATTAGCAAGTACAGCTATATTATTTTATCTCAATAGAATGTGGTATCAGAAATATATTTATTTTGACCAAAAAATTATGAAAATGAAGCCCATTTCGTCAAGAAGTTATTCCTCAGCTTTTGGTCTAATGTGCAATGGGCATGGGCATCTATGGGGTTGCCCCCCCCCCCCCCCCCCTCATTCCAGAGATATTTGTATTGAGCCTGTGATAAAAACCGTGTACCATTTCACGTATATCTGTAATCTGTATTGGCACAACAAAACACAATTTCAGGGATATCTGTAATTTGTATTGGCACAATAAAATACAATTTCAGGGATATCTGCATAGACGCAATAAAAACGGGACTAAAAGGAAAGACAGGGAATAAAGGTGGGGTGGCGATATCATTCAACCTCTACTCAACCTCTTTGTGCTTTGTATGTGCACATCTGGCTGCTGGACAGAACAATGTTATTGACAGAAACAAGCACTACGAATACATCAGGGACAAGGCCTTGTTTGATAACGTATGTGTTATTTTTGTTGCTTTTATAAGTGTGTTTTGTTTTGGAATCGAATTTTAGCAATTTTGGGGCTTTTCTCAATTCACACTTTTTTGTTGTAAATTTTGCGTCTGTTTCCTATTTTTCATTGTGCTTTTATCTTTCGTTCATCGGGCTATTTAATGCACTTCCAAGCTCATTGAAAGCGCGCAAGGTATATTTTACTATACAGTAAACGCTATACATACTCGCTCAGGGAATGGAGATAGAGGATCACGACTACGTTTTCTGGTGCGGTGACTTTAACTACAGGATAGACTATGCAAACCATGAGATACGAGATTTGGTTAAAAAGAAATCTTGGTACGATCTTCAGTGTGCTGATCAGCTCACTGTTCAGAAAAACGAGAAAAAGGTGATTCGAATTAATTTACGTACATTTTATTGTTTTGTTATTGTAAACACGTTACTGGGTTTATATGCAGAAAGTAATTGTAAAATTAGTGTCAGTTATTTTACTGCTATTGTTTATAATTGTTATGTGATGCTACACATGTGACTTTCTGACAAATTTACATAATATGAAATTATGCCAACTTGCTGTGCGACCTAATCATTAAGCGATTTGTGGTTTAAAAATGTTGATTTCTGAATGTTTGTACACTTTAATCAGCTTTAGGGTTAAACTTAAATCGTACAACTTGCAGTGCCAACTGAAACTTTAGTTCACACTACACTTCTGGCTTACACCCTATGAAATAATCCGAGCCCATCACCTAGTTGATAATTACGCCAGTGGCGTAACGTTGCCTGTTGGCGCCCCCCTGCCGAAAAAAGCGCCCCCCTGTTGGCGCCCCTCCCCTTTTGGTGCCCCTCCCTAAAATTGAACAAATTAGGTGATTTTAAAGAATACGCCGGTAAAATCTCTAAAAAAGTGTGTATCTAGAGCAAAACGCGCAGTTTTGCTAGTACTTTAGTTAAGTTTTCGAAATTGTCCCACATTCAAACGACGATTTGGCGCCCCCCTAAGACGGCGCCCCCCTGCACAGCAGGGTCAGCAGGGCCTTTCGTTACGCCACTGAATTACGCACTGTCTTTAATACTGGCCTCGCGAGAGTACTGTCTGTAATCACAAGCCGGACAGTCACAGGTTTTTGGGGTGCATTACGCAGCGCGCGAAGACATTTTATTGTTTTATATAAAGTTGTCACAACAGACTTTCCACGCGCGTTTCTGATCTGATCTGTGCGTAGTAAGCGATCTATTTCTCTATCTCAAGAATTGAGTTGATGTCATGACGTTAATTATCGTTTTAAAGAAGACTATTTCACACGTGGCATGTATTAACCATCTGTTAATGTACGATACAATTAACAAACTATTGTCACTTTTTTCATCCGTACACCCGTGTTATAGTTCACAATTACTTTCAATATTATCAAATCTAAATCTACTTCCTGTTCCAGGTATTCCAAGGGTACAACGAGGGTCCACTGGAGTTTGCTCCGACTTATAAATACGACCTGAACTCAGATTACTACGATACAAGCGAGAAATTCAGATCTCCAGCATGGTCAGATATTTTTAATTGAATACTGAAATCTATAAGATATTGACCTTGTCAGTTGTCTATCAAATGTTCACGTAATTGAAATAGGGCTTGGGAGATGTTGACATTTCAATAGAATTGCATGTAGTGGATTAAAACGCGTTTGATGGGATAGCATTCAAAGGATAAGACTAGACAAGAATATTTTCCGTTTTGGCAATCTGCGATGTCGGAAGGGAGTAAAAAGGGCAAATAAGGGAGTGAGAATCTAACTTATTTGCAATTTTTACTCAGTGAGATCAACAAGGATCGTCAATAAGGCACACGAGATGGTAAGAACTAAGAATACGACGTCTCTTCCACAGGATCGTGATTCGTGGTTTAATCGGATTTCCTTAGGGCGTTTGATTGTTGACATATATCGGAATACAGTTGAATCATAAAATGAGGTTCTTGAATTAAGATTTAAGTGACATGCAACTTGCAAGGTTTTATGATAACGAACAAGCCACTATCGTTGATATACCCACAAGAACAGAATTAGCTATAACAAGGCTTTGCTCTTTTATAGTTATTAGCAAAAATAAGTCATGGCATAAACGACCCCCGAACATAACCCGACTTCTTTACCGCGGCCACTTCACAATTTCCTCCCCAAAATATTTTATGGGTGCTGACTGCGACAGACTGCTGGTTTGGGATATGTGTTCAAAGTTTAGGTGGTACCTCTGCAACTTGGCATTCAAGTATTATCATTGTTATTGTCTATGAAGATAATCTTCTTATCCAATAACTTATATTCAGGTGTGACCGTGTATTGTGGAGATGCAAGGAAAGGTGTAGATATATGGATAACCTCAGTCCAGGCAAGCTCCTCTTCTATGGCAACACTGAGATAAAGACTTCAGATCACAGGTCACATTCTTTTAATCAACTGCTCAATTGTCAGAATTATTATTTTTGACCGTTTTGGAATTATTCAAGAATTGAATGGTGATCGGACTTTGAATCATATACATGTCCGAATAAAGAATTACTTTGGTACATTTCAAACCTATGCCTGGCAGCTATGTACAACAAACCAGCACTAAGTAGTCGGTGTCTGTGGTGTTGGGTGTTGACATTTGACGTCCTTGAGATTTCTCGCCCATCCCTACACCTCAAAATATGCGCTGTACTGAATATTTTATACTTATAAATAATATTTATCCAGGCCGGTATTGGGCGTAGTCGATATTGAGGTGCGTAAGATAGACCCCGGACAGAAGTTAGCGCTGTACTCGAAGGTGTTCCGCGGTTTGGGGCCGCCAAATCCAACTGTTTGTGTGACGTGAGTACTCCACTTTATTATGATATTTTATATCGTACATATTATATGTGTGTAAGTGTTGTGGCGAAACTATTTAAAGTGGCACTAAAACATGGCATAATAGGCCAAAATATGCCAAATTAAATATGTAACCTCGTACGTGGAATAGTTATTAAATTCGGGATAACTAAGATATGGCAGAATATCAAAAATTCACTAAATCTGATCGCACCCCGGGTATATGCATTGTGTCCTGTGAGAAGAATTCAGATAATTGCCATGTCACACCTACCCGGTCCGACACCTGTCACACAGCCCTGTTACAAGTACAAGCTAGAGGGAGAAGCCGCGCACTTATTTCTTGTAATTTAAACTATCTCAAATTAGCTGACAAGTCACGCGCCTTCTCCCAGGTGTGTTGCGCTACCCGGTAGGCCAGTGGTTGAGTTGAGTGCTCTGGTGACGGCGGTGCTGCAAGAAATGCAACAGTTTGGGCCCATAACTCTGGTGAGGGTACCGGAGGGGGTGATGCACTTCACGTTCCAGGACAGTGTCTCTGCTATGCATGCTCTGCAGTTGGATGAGACAGAGGTACAATTGGACTAGGGGAAGAGGGGGGGGGGGGGCATGTTGCTTTTAAATCATGAACTTGGGGCGTCTAGAACCTTATGATTTACTATATAACATTTTTATAGGAGCTTTGAAATATTATGTGGCATTGCCATTAGCCATTATTACTATTATTATCGGATGTTGACAGTCTCACATACTCAGATACTGTACCACACGCTAGATATACATCTAAAATCAACAGCTGAGGACTGGAACTTACTGATAGGGCTGGAACCTACTCCTATTAATTTTGTTATCACACCAATTGAAAAGCTACTGGATGATGGATTCGTAGATATGGTAATTCCCTGTTCTCCAATTATTATTGTATGTAACGTTCATTGAACATAATATGTATTGATTATAGGGTGAATTTTAAATGTTTTATGCGCACACGCCCGATTTTCAATAGGATATTATTGGACACTGGCAAACTCAATTTTTGAATTTTTGTTTTACAAAAAACAGATGCTAGCCTTTTTATCAGTCCGTCAAACTTGCGATTTGCGAGAAACTATTTGTAACACCTCGGGTAAAGTTGCGTATACAATATACATACCGTTTGTAAAACCCGTGTATTTGTTCAGGAGGGGGACGAGTCAGGCGAGGAGATGGAAGAGAACATTGTAGAGGATTCTGAAGAAAGTGGTGAAGAGGAAGATGGAGTGAAGTATCAACCTACTGTACTCAAGTCACTTCCACGGGTTGAGGTAAGAGTTTAAATACTGCAAATATTACTCTCAGTACAATCTCTGATTAATTCTTACTGCAAGGTTAAGTAGTTAGGTAATGTTAAACCAGCTCTTAGCTTTAAACTCATTGAGATCTTATATTCTATAGATAGAGCCGGAGAAGAAGATGCCCCCAGCTCGGCCTCCTCCGCCCTCCCGTCCTCCGCCCCCAAAGATTAGCTCCCAACCCACTACAGAACCATCCTCTCAACGCCCACCTCGTCCCACTCCCCCTCCTCCATTCTCCAGAGCTGACCTTTTAGAATCCCAGCAGGCTCGCCCCGCGCGCCCTGCTGTGCGGCCCTCTGCTGAGGTAGTGAAACAGTCCCAGCCGTCCCGCCCAGCACCGCCCCCAGATTACGCGCCGTCCCGCCCTACACCGCCCCCAGAGTACGCACCTATCATTACCAAGGGGGCCAGGAGTGGAGGAAGCGGTGAGGATTACTCTGATTATAGAGAGAACGATCCTCCGTCTGCACAACCTACTCGGCCTACACGGCCTGTCCGGTTAGTAACATTATATTCATCATATTATATTTGGATTATTAACTTAATTGATCCGATTTTGGGATTAACTGAACAGGTTTTACTGGAAGTTATTCGTAATTTTTAAAGACGTAGAGGCAGTATAGTTCTAATTCTATAAGATCAATCGATAAGACGTCACAGAAATCACGGTTAGGCCAACTGAATGTGAAATTATTTAATTAAATCTAACTTCTCTTAAAAGTTTTACAGCTGAAACCAAATACTCTGGTCCTAACAACATGTTCCTACATTCTCGAGTTACGGGAATTTATTTTCAGACCAGGAAACACCAAAATGTCGTTCATTGATAAAACGCGTCAAGGTGCCCAAGGGGCCAAAGAGTTCATCGCAGAAAAGGTAACGTGTTCCATATAATATAATGAATTGTATTTTATCGTGTATAGAGGATAGGTGAATGTGACTGTTCCAAAAACTGTCTAAGTGGTTACTTTGATTACTTTGGTTAACGGAGGGCACATAAACAAAAAAATGGGACTTTTTCAAAAGGGTTAACAGCCAAAAAATAAAGCACTTGAATTACTATGTATGTTCTACACCAGAGCTATAATAGACAGTGTAATTTTGTTAGTATGCTGGTTACTATATTAAGTTCCTATGATTACTACAGTTACTGTGATTATTGAGGTAACTGTAGTTACTGACTACTGTGATTACTACTGTTTCTGTGATTACTTTGGTTATTGAAGTAACTGTAGTTACTGTGGTTACTATAGTTGCTGAAGTAACTGTATATAATATAATATCTTAATTCTAGTGAATTTCCCGCCGTTTTTTCCCCTTGTCAAATCTTACTATGTCATGATAAAGGGAGTATCCGCATCTAAACACGTGTAATGGACTATTTAACTCCATATTAGGGTACAAATATAACCGTGTGTTAAAATAAGCTATTACATCACTCTGTCTACTAGTGTTGAAAGTAGCGTTACACTCAACTAATTTCAACACTTCAACCTTGTGACTTGGGCTTCATTGTTGCATGTATGACAGTGGGAATACTTGTAATGATGCTCTGCCATTACCAGTCTTGTTCTGGTAGACTGGGCTGTTTTATTTTATTTAACGATATAATAAACTCTTGGCAGTTATCCTTGTCCTAAACTATGACTATTTTCTACTTCAAACTAACCCAGACTCTAAAACCGGGATTGGTGATTTTGACCAATCCCCTTGTTACATCATAAAGTTTTATTAAGTCAGCCAGTCAGGGTCGAGGATTTGAAAATAGCCACCCCCCCCTCCCCCTTCCAATACGCGCCACTATCTACATTCCTATTTCTAGTGCATGATAAGAACCTTTATCAGTAAAGTATGATAGCTATTTCAGTTTAACGAGAAGAAGTCGGAGATAGACATAGGTGAACCGTTTGGGTTTGGCAAAACATCAAATATGCAGCAGGTATGGTGATTGTTGAATATGTTTGAGATATTATCCGGTGTTTTGAAGCTACCATGTATTAATTACATATATGCGCGTTTATTTATATCTTTATTAGAATTTTTGTTATTAGGAAACGAGTAAATACGCATGGAATGTGGCAATAAAAATGTTAGTGATATTTAAAATAAAAAGTCATCCGCTAACATGGTCATAAAACAGGTAATTAATTTGGAATATGTCAAGAGTGACCACTCTAAGTCTACCTAAATCTAGTTATAAAATGTTGAGTTTATTTTATCACGTACACAAGTGTTGTGTGCCAAATATTTGAAAAATCTGTCGTCAAATATGTGCTACTGCTAATCAAACGATAACATCTGATTTCTAAAAAGTACTCTTAATAATCTGATCAATGAGAGAGCTGATCTTCAGTATCGTGACTTAATCTGACCAATCGGTGAGTTGTATTCTAGTCGCCTGACTTAATCTGACCAATCAAATGGCCTAACTCACAGCACGGTTTTTTTGCGGGCCAAAATCTTGTCAAATTTCGTATTTGATTCCTTTCGAAAGCTTTGAAAGCAATATGCTCTTCATAGAAATCCACATTCTTAGGCAAACACTTTTAGATACTGCCCTAAATCCGTGCTGTAAGGAATATACTATAAATCTAAAGTTCGATTGAAATTAAAAATCTTTGAAAACCAAATAAATACAGATTGCAATATGCAGCTTGCACACGAAAGCTTGATTTCACCTCTTTTTCTGAAGGTCGAAACAACCAGCATAAAACGTGACCTGATTACATGATACGTCATGTTTCAATTCACATGACCTGGTCACATGACCTGGTCACATGACCTGGTCACACGAGAAGTCGCTGATGTTTCCTTGAACTCAACCCACTACTTTTTATATAACTCTTATAAAACAGATGAACAGTGCACTCCGTTAACATGCAAAGATTCCAGCTCTCCTCAAGGTCTATATTTACATTGGGTTTTTAATGAGGACGCCCCTTAGTCTTCCGGTCAGCGCCGTATTGGTCTCGGGCGCGTAGTACAGCTATCTGAATTTTGAAGACATTGTACCAGCGTACTGTTTCACTGATAGTTTGTTTTGAAGTGCCTCGCATACCGCACATTCCACAAGTCTTGACGTAGGATCGAATGAGAAAGAGTCGATGTTGGCAGTTTGTCTGCTGGGTCGCGCGAGTTTCTAGGTTTTGAAAGCACCTTGCTCTGATGCCTTGAGGATGAATGATTTCATCAGGTCATTGTCAAGCTTGATGAAGGCTTCTGATTGAACGACAGCGGTCATGTGATTGAGAGAGAAGCGGAAGCAGAATTCCTGCAAGTCCTCGTTCTTGTACTTAAGGGCAGCTGAGTAGAGGTGAGCAGCATTACTAGTCGTGATACCCTGCTTTATTATGCGCTCACAAAGGTACTTCAACTTGGGCTCACAGTACGCGTTCGCAAGATCCATCAGATGTATCGCATCTTCAGGTTCCATGGTTACCTGATCTGTATAGAGGAACTCGAGGAACGCTCGGTACACATCATATGAGAACTGGGACACTTCTATAACATCCTGGGAAGACTCTGTGAAGGGTGACCTGAACATGCCCTGGAAGTACTGGGATCTGATCTTGAGGATGGCTTTGTGCGCGTAGATCGACACACCATTCACCTGGAAGGTTATGTCGGCAGTGCTGCGGTCGTCGAAGGCTTGTTCAATGCTCTGGTTGAGGGACCCCAACTTGCTGTGTTCCACACTCATGGGGTAGGGGGTGACGGAGGGGGTTGCAAAACACGCGAACACGTCTACAACGTGCGCAAACTTGGTCTCGGTTGGGGTCTGTATTGACTGGTTTCTGCACTGACCCCACATGTAGACCTTACCAGAGTGGTTGACTGCGGCTGAGATGTGGTTGTAGTGACACGCTGCTATGTCTACAAACCTGCCATACTCCTCAGCTATCTTAACTGGAGTGAGAGTGTTGCACTTAGTGGAGGTCCCCAGCTGACCGTATGAGTTAGCCCCCCACACATAGATCTCTCCCGCATCAGTGAGGGCGAGCGCGTGCGCGTAACCGCATACTATCTTCACCACCACAACCTGTCCTGTCAGTAAGGAGATTCGGGGAGTTGGCTGGTTTGTGGTGTTGCCAATACCTAGCTGGCCGTTACCGTTATACCCCCACGCGTAGATATCACCCTGGCTCGACAGAGCCATGGAAGAGGTTTGCCCGCATGCGATGTCTGTGATCTTCAGTCCGTTCAGTACCCCACCAACTTTTCTTGGAGTGACTTGGTTGTTAGTGGTTCCTGACCCGATCTGTCCACAACTGTTGTACCCCCACGCAAACACTTCACCCTCCTCGGTTCGTGCGAGCGAGTGATGTGACCCACACGCGATCTGTACGATCTTCTTATTACCCAGCGAGGTGACTGGAGTTGGTGAGACACCCTGGTTAGTGGTTCCGTTACCGAGTTGAGAGTACCCGTTGTGGCCCCAGCTGAACAACTCTCCGGACCCAGTGACGCACAGCACGTGCGGCCCACTACCGTACGCAAACGTCTTGATGTCCTTCTTGCAGAGTGCTTCTACTTTCCTTGGGGACAACGTGCTCGTCTGATATCCAAAACCCAAACAACAACAAGAATTAGACCCGATCGCATAAACATCATCATTGTGATCGACAACAATAGCCTCGTTCCCGTTATTCCCAAACACACAAACCATCTTGATGGTTCCCGTAAAATCATTGTCAAGGAGTGAAAATATCGGCCATCGCTCCAAGTTCATCTCGTTAGCAGCAGCAGCCACGTTTCCCGTCCTCGTAGCAGTAATAAGGAGGGACTCCAGTAGGATCTCGTCCCCAGGTGCAGCAGAAGGGGGAGATTCATCTGGTACTGGAGTGGGAGGGTGGAGAGGAGGAGGCGGGTCTCCTCCTGGCGGGTTGTAAACTCTGGACCGAAACATTGCTAACAAACAAGAAGGGATTAGTTCGCTTACACTCCTACTGCTTAATGTCGCCGGTAATTTGATACGGGTAAATATCTAGGCCGATCAAGTCATCACTATAGTAACAGAGGCTGTTTGCAAATTACACGATATGTTTACAATAGGCTTGCAAATTAATAATACTTACAAAATAAAATGATGCTACATCACTGTAACAGTCAGCTGACTGCCCATTTAGACCCGAACCCAAAATAATAATCTTACAAGAGGGACGACCTTTCAAAGACCTACAAATGTTTTAAATTCCAACAAAGTTTCAAATTTTAGCAAACGTTGAACACGCGTTAAACCGCCTACAACCGAGTTAAAAATAAAACTTACTTGTTAAAAAAGAGTGTTAAAACCACGTTAGACATCTAGGGCCGTACAAGGAGAACAGTCTCATGTCTGTGATCTTAACTCGACCGAAGACTAATAAGGTACACGAGATTGGGAGGGCTAAATAACGAGCTGTGCCAAGTGAGATGGTACGAATTGCCGCTGTATCACGAGGCAATGCTAACCAAGCGGACCACTCTAGTCACGAGGTCAGTCATAAGTCGCTTAGCTACCGTCACGTGCACATCTCGTCACGAACTGTACGTTGCTTAGCAACCATCACGTGGTGTACATGTGGCATACCACGTGGCGTACCACGTGGGTACGAGGCGGAAAATGAAAATTAATTCATCTTGTCAGCACCTTCCCTCAAGCTACTCCTGACCAAATATACAACAGAGGGAGAGAGAGAGAGCAAGAGAGAAGCAATATTACGGCGAAGGTTGGCAGAGTCCAACACATACCCTCTGTTTATACCTTGTAGTATACATCGGGTAATTGTATTAGTTTATATGTACAGCTACCATCATACCGCTAATCAGGTGACCGCTTTGGTTAACGAAATATCAATACAAATCTGACGTCAAACTGAATGTATTAGATTATTAGTGTCAGTGAGAAGACGTTGATCGGTAGATAATTACAGAAAGCAGACTCTCGTACACTAACAGCGGTACAGTTGTCTGATCGCACGGAAAGATTACAACATGCTTTAACAGGGGGAGGGTTATATGACTCAGAGTATTCAACGATAATACGAGACTGTATATTTCCAGGAGAGAAGCCAGGTTTGGGTAATTAATACCATATATGGAATAATCAAATTGCCATATGTGGTATAAATGGTGGAGCTAAATAGAATGCCGGCCGAGGCTGAGGGAGTGTGTGTGTACAGTTGTAGTTGCATAATAGAGTGGAGAGTGTGTGTTTTGTGGTAACTACAGCTGGGATTGAAACTGTCTATAAAGACCTACTGACAAGTTAAGACGATTAACACAATTACCGTGGCTAGGAGATAGTTACCATGGTTACCATGGCGAAATAAGTACTGGATTGATAGGTTGCAGGTTGAAGATATTATTTTAAAATTATTATTTTGTTTAAACCTCAAAAGAAAATGGAATATAATTATCATAAGATCAGGAAAGAAATAGAGACATAGCTAGCAGTTGAACTGCTCAGGCGGCGGTTTTCCCGTAAACGAATACCAATCTTGAGTCTACCGACTTTCTTAGGAATAATGATATCGGTTTCCGACAAGAAGAATGATGAGTGAAATTTTGTTATTCTGCTGTTCAAATTGAATTTAAAGCAGCTTATTTTAACATTTTGTTCGGACAGTACTTGCACATTAACAGATCATAAAGGGGCTGTGGCCAGGCCCAAGTGACCGGGCCCACGTGACCGGGCCACGTGGGCCCAGTTCCAACTATAAGACGTAAAAGTATAACCACCGGTTTTAGCAGCTAAAGTGGCTGTACGACAGAATGGGTCCCTGAGATCTAACTACCTAAACAATTAACTAACAGACCAATCAGAGGCCCCCGCTAGAGCTGATAACTCAATCAAATAGAAACAGATTTGCCACAATCGTGAATATCTAATATTCATAATATTTAACCCGCGATCAATAACAACAAACAACAAGCCACATAACAGCAGTAATTATGATTTTTATTAATGACATGACAAAATGTACTCGACTAATAACTATCGCAATCGTTCCGAATTTAATGTGTTAATCTACTTATCAAGTTATCATACAATGTGACTGCGTGTCACTGTAAACTGGTAATATGTAACCACTTAATTACTCGTGTTAAATGGAAAGGAGAATAATTCTGAGCAGTAAAGTTGCATCGGATACTGTTATATAATAATCAGAGTATAAAATCAGGGAAGACAGCCCCGTTACTATGGGGAGTTAGGGGTTCAGCGCTGTTACTATGGGGAGTTAGGGAAGACAGCCCCGTTACTATGGGGAGTTAGGGAAGACAGCCCCGTTACTATGGGGAGTAAGGGAAGACAGCCCCGTTACTATGGGGAGTAAGGGGAGTCAGCCCCGTTACTATGGGGAGTAAGGGGAGTCAGCCCCGTTACTATGGAGAGTAAGGGGAGTCAGCCCGGTTACTATGGGGAGTAAGGGAGTCAGCCCCGTTACTATGGGGAGTAAGGGAGTCAGCCCCGTTACTATGGGGAGTAAGGGGAGTCATCAGTCAGCCCCGTTACTATTGAGTTTCTTCAAAACTTGACGGGGTCATCACATCTTCTGACCACCCCATAGCGAAGTAAAGTCTCGCTCGTTGCGCCACCACAGCAGAGAGTTCGTATTTGGAGGAGTATATCCCCTGATCGGAGCGGCGGCTTATCAGGGAGATACGACATGAACTTTGTGAGCTTATCTTTGAAGTGCTCTAGATCTTGAATGACATTCAGATGGTAGGGGATTGCATTCCACAATTTAGGTCCCTGAACTGCAAATGAGTTGTCAAACAAGGTGAGGGGAGAAATTAATAGGATTTATTTTGCAAGGATTCTCACCTATCAAAATGAACAGGAGTATTCTCGTTTGTGATATTTCAGATTCCATACCTTATAAGTTAGTGTAACTATTCTGCAAGTTATTAAACAAACGCAGATTTAAGCGACATCAAATTAAAGGAAGTATCTGTCCCTTTCTAATGAAAAATCGTAATAACTAAGAATAAAATGCAATGCAAAAAAAGTTCGTAGCTATAACTGTCACGGTCGTATTTTTCGGAAAACATTTAAAAACTGTAACTTAACAACCATAAATATTTAATCACCTAACAATGTGGTGTTAAAAAAGTAAGAAATGTCAGACCAAGTGAGGCTTCAAGGGGTGGTGTGGGCAAAGTTCCAGGCTTGTGATGTAAATCATGTCTTATGCTTAGCTCAGGCAGATAATGTTAAATGTTGTTAGACTTAGAGTGGACTCAGAGTAGTGTGAGTACTAGTATAATAATAATTACACACAACACGTACCCTGCTGTATACTGCACTTTTAGTGTTGTTATATTTACTGCAGTGATTCTTAATTTACCGGGTTTCTATACTTGATCTGACTACTAGGTGTAACCCTGATTACTAGGCGTAACCCTGACTACTAGGCGTAACACTGACAACTAGGCGTAACACTGACTACGAGGGGTAATACTGACAACTAGGCGTAACACTGACTACTAAGCTACTAGGTGTAACACTGACTACTAGGTGTAACACTGACTACTAGGCGTAACACTGACTACTAGGCGTAACACTGACTACTAGGTGTAACACTGACAACTAGGCGTAACACTGATTACTAGGTGTAACACTGACTACTAGGTGTAACACTGACTACTACGTGTAAAACTGACTACTAGGTGTAACCCTTACTACTATGCGTAACACTGACTACTAGGTGTAACACTGACTACTAGGTGTAACACTGACTACTAGGCGTAACACTGACTACTACGTGTAAAACTGACTACTAGGTGTAACCCTTACTACTATGCGTAACACTGACTACTAGGTGTAACAATGATTACTAGGTGTAACACTGACTACTACGTGTAAAACTGACTACTACGTGTAAAACTGACTACTAGGCGTAAAACTGACTACTAGGCGTAACCCTGTCTCTTATTTAAAACTTAGTTAGAATTACCGACCCTGACTCAGAGTTAACAGTGAGTGTTGGAGCAGTGTCACATACCACTGATTAATGACAAAGCGAGGTTAAACATCAGACACTTTCAACAATATTTTAATGTTTCTAAAACTGACTCCCCTCTAGATACGTTATACTATAACTAGTTAGATTAGTTATGTTACACGACAGAGTTAACGAAACATTAGGAATAATTCAACTGCAGACAGTTGAAATAGAGCTCTGCGGCCTTGGATACGTTGCTTTCATCAGAGACCCGGCGGATTTTCTGAAGAAAGAAAAATGATTGAAAAGATGATGCGTTAAGATAAAAATGGCATTCAGTAACTAGAAAATTGTATGATAGCTGAAAAATAACCGTCTGCCCACGTGTACGCCGACCAAATCTAAGCCAAACAAGAGGTATTTTAAAGTAATGTAAGGTTAAGTTCTATTTTAAGATATCAAATTGTCACAACTAAAAAACTTCAACCGGGTCATGCACCAGATAGATACTAGAAACGTTTTGCACAAATAAAACAAGTCTATATTTAGATAATGGAAGTATTAGTTGACGATGCTGAGTAATGCATTGTATGAGATCATACAGCTGGTAAAGAGGTACCAATACACTTCACATCAAGTGTACCCATCTCATCTGTTTGGAAAGATTACTGAAGTGAGTTTAGCTGTCAGCACGTTGGAATCAGTGGTTTGAGAGCAATAATACGGACGATATTGTTGATAAAGGAGCATTTGTGTGGGTGTCGTAGAAGTGAGGTCACCTTTCTTTCAGCGGCTTACTCTTTGATATTCATATTATGTAAAACTAACTTATCTGTAAAACAACCCATTTTGTTTAGCCAACTTCTATATTTGAAAAGATCTGACGGCGGCGTCGCATGGTTACAAGGGCCATTCAAGTTTTTGAATTCCTATGTTTCTAAATTTTTGTAAACATGAGGAATAATGGAATGTTTTTTGTTCTGGAATATATAATATATATACACACAAAAAGAACCTTAGCACTTAGAACTTATAAAGCACACAATAATATAATTGCACAGTGCACACGGACTTGCACAAGCTATGTGCAACAATGATCTCAAACAATAGAATCACGGATAACTATTTATCATACCTATAATTGTCTTCCCTTAAATGGATTGTTGCAAGATGTTAACCCCATCCGTTTCCAGTTCGATGACGGTACATACAAGATAACCTTAGAAGATGGGAGGGTTATAGTGTACGAGAAAGGAGGGAGCCCCGTAATGAGCGGCTCACCACCCCCTACAGTCCCTCCCCCTCAACCCCCTGCTGAGAAAACTCCTTCTCCAGGCTCTAGTAGACCTCCTCGACCAGCTACTAGACCTTCACGGCCTGTTAGACCACCTGATTCTGAGGTAAGGTGTTAAAGTTTTAATTAGTTTTACATAGTTTTACTTAGTTTTACTTATTTTTAGTCGGCTTTATTTAGTTTTACTTCGTGACTTCGCTTGTAAACTACCTTATTCTTACCTCAGATAGTAGAGCGATGTATGATAGATCCAGAGGACTTGTTTGGTGACAGTCCTACTCCACCTCCAGACTCCGACCCACCGCCTCCCCCCTCCGAGCAACCTCCCCCTCCTCCAGCTGCTCCTAAACGTCCTGTTCGTCCTAATCCTGTTGAACTGTCTCGCTCTCTTCCTCGAGACGCACATCCCCCAACCAGTCAGTTTGTTGATATGCCACAGTTTGTTGATATCCCACTAGACTCCATGGCACTGTCACGTGACGTTAAATCTCTCCCACGTGACGTCATACCGTCCTCACGTGACGTCACTTCTCTCACACGTGACTTCATATCTCCCTCACGTGATGTCACTTCTCTTCCACGTGATGTCATACCTCCCCCACGTGAGGAGAATGAGACGTTCTGTAACCCCCTGTTAGTAGACGACCCCGTTATCTACAGTGTGGCTGCTAACGCCAGTTCAGCTCGTTTAGAGGATCTCTTCCCTCCCTCACCTGCTGACTCCTTCTCACGCAGCGCCACCATCAGCAGCTTCGATAACACTATTTACGCTGAGTCAGATCCACGGCTGAGACACATTAAATCTCAGGGTGACATGGGGAGTATTATCGACCTGACACCGCCACCCCCTAATCAGTACGATAACATTGGGTTAGGAGATGTGGAGACTCCCTTAACGCCTGCCAGACCTAATAGACCGCCTAGACCAACGAGACCCGCTAATATATGATATGAAATGGAAATATTTGTAATTTATGAACTATGGGTAGTCGGAGGAATTGTTTTGGAGACTTGACTTAACCTTTAGGGAGGTGGTATTAATTTTAACCAAGGTAAGGTGTAAACCGTAAACATTAGGGGAATACGGTATTTTATACTTCAATCCCAACATATTTTCCCCCAAAGTTTTCCTAGCACCAATAAAAATAATCAAGTCTGAAAAGTTTTCCTTGCACCAATAAAAGTAATCAAGACTGAAAAGAAGTCTCTTTGCAAAAGCTTTTTTTTTCTTTTGATAAAACACGTTCTGATAGTTTTGTTCCAGAATCAATATTAATTTGCATGTTGCAGTTGATTATCTCATGAAAATAAGTTTTATGTGCAATTTATTTCAAATGTGACCAATTATCGTTATTCATTATTCGGGTGTTCTGTTCATTGCTGATCTGCTTAACATGACTGAACGAAGTAAAGCTGAAAGCGGATTGTGTATTTTAATTTTTATGTGAATAGAAGGAACTGTTTTAAGTTTTAGCGCTACCGTTATTTACATATAATTACAATGTTTTTTATAAATTCTGATTGCAAGGCTATATGATTTAGTCAAAATTTTTGTTCCGATGCTGATCGTATTTTTTATATACTTCTTATGTATTTCAAAATTCAACTTTAGCAAATTTTGAAATATTTTGTTTTTATTTGTTATTATATATATATCATTATTTGTTATTACGTATGTTTACATATTAGTATTACGCAATCAATATTTTAACAATTTTTACATCATACACCAACTAAAAATGCTATCATGATAAGCCGAAATCATTGTTATGATATCCGGCCTTACCTTAACCTAGCTGGGGACCTCAGGCTATTATATTTATGTTCATGATCATATAATATGATAATAGAATAGAGATTCGGCGGAATGACAGGCTGAGCGCGGCCCAGTAAATCCTTGTATCACGTGGTGGCCCCCACTGTCGCTTCACTATAGTAGAGTTTCGACGATACAGGGGGAGCCGCGCACTCGTGCGCGGCGGGTCATACAACGTATGACAAGTAAATCCGACCAAGCACCTTCTAAACTATTTACTATTATAGCCGGATATTTGACGGATGTTAATCGGCTAAATTTCTTCGAAGTATCGCGCGCAACTTTCTTCTCGATGGCAAGTGCAACGAAGTAGCGCTTGACCATTGTCAATGGTGCATGTGGCCCGGCGCGCGCTACTTCGTAGCATGTAGCACTTGCCATGTCGTGCTACTTCGAAGATATTTATACGAGTAACATCCGTCAAAGTAGCGCGCGCTAATTTCGGCCAGCACAATTTTCTTCAAACAAATAGATATTGAGTACTATTTTCCCGACCTCCGATTGCAACAAAATTTGGTAAGCTTACTCATAGATTTTGTATCTGGTATCACGTTGCGACCCCCACGGTCGTTTCACTATGGTTTTATTTTTTATCGTCCTGACGAATGACGATACAGGGGGAGCCGCGCACTTCGTGCGCGGCGGGTCATACAGCGTATGACAACAAAGACTTACAAGGAAAGTGTCCGAAAAATTTAAAGCATATCCAATCATTTGTAGCGCGATGCACTACTGGGTCGCGCCGCGCATTTACCTGAGGACCCCAGGCTTTAATGTTGTTAAACAATAGAGATTAGGCGGAATGACAGGCTGAGCGCGGCCCAGTAAGCCGCGCATCAAATAATTCTTCTCGTATGCAGATCGGCGAGATGCGAAGGATTGACATCGTGAATCAAATCCAATCATCAGACATTATGTTACAGCTAAAAGCAGCGTATTTTGCCCCATTTTTATCACTATATCAACTCCGATATCCACAAAATTTTTTGGACAGTTGTGAAATTGCCCTATTGGAAGGTCGTTGCCAATTTTCAGAATGATCTCATTCAAGGAACCGAAGATATATCCGAATAATACGACAAAAATCGACAAATTTGGTCAAATTACGCGACTTTTACAGTTATTTTTGCTCCCCAAAGCCGCGCAGCATCGAATATGGCACCTAGGCGCGAAACTCACTGATCTTTCCAAATTAAAGGTATGACAAATTTGGTATTGTGAAAATTCCCACAGTCTCTATGCTCTAGAAAACAATGGTACACAAAATTTTAAAATCTGAGCAAGTTTATTTCTATCGTGCAAGTACCCCCTAAAATTAGGTCATTAAATTTGTAGCACAAATTCCTTCACATAGCCATGTGTATACGCGCGCTACTGCAAGCGAGAGGGCTCTGTACTGGTTAGAGCAAACAAATTCCAATCACAAATGATGTCAGAAAATTTCGATTTTGCTATGGTGGTAGATTTTGTCAAACGTTGTATGACCCGCCGCGCACGAGTGCGCGGCTCCCCCTGTATCGTCGAAACTCTACTATAGTGAAGCGTCAGTAGGGGTCACCACGTGATACAAGGTAGATTGTAGTAAACTCAAGTATGATCGAAGTAACTAACATTTTTTTAAAATTTTAGATTTAGGCTTTAAAATTTCTTTTTGTAACTGGCATAAAAAGAAGAAAATAAAAGTTGCTACGTTTTACGCCGGGCGTACACTTCGTGCGCGGGATGAGGGACGTATAAAATGTGTCAATATAAATTGAGTTTCTCATCGGTCTAATGGTGAAGTAATTGTAGTTCTCTGTAATAAAAAAGAGTTCACTAAATAAATATTTCTATACGTAAGGCCTCGAAAGTCTGGTTACCAACTAACATACACGATGATAAAGAATAACCATAAGCAATCTGATTATAAACTTACGCATAAAGGGTAGATCGTTTTGTCGTCTCAACTTCAAAGTGCTTCATTCTAACGAAATCCGTCCACTGTTCGAAACCCTCCACGTCGTCCACACCGCTACCTAGCCTGTGTCTTGAACGAAACCCTTGATTAAATTGCGTCATCGTCTTTTATTGCCTCCACTTCACACTTTTTGACTAAATTTATCGCGGGGTTCTCCGATATCAAACTCTTTCTCGCCCGACTCTGTCCTACATCAGGTCGTCTCACCCATTCTTGGAGTGTAATCTTTGCTTTTTTACTAACCGGTTGTGCCATGACGTTGCCTTAATAAAGATCTTGGTAAGTAATACTATTTATCGTTTATCGACGATTAGTAAGTTAGTAACGGACACAACTTTCACGCTGAGGACCCTTGTGTGAATAATTATGTCTGTGAAAAAATAAAGAAATAAATAAGTAAAAATTTATTTAAAAAAAAAATTGTCTGCGACATTAATGTCCGTGAATGCTAAAGTCTGATGATTATTTCCATTAATTTAAGTGTGTCGATCCCTAAATATGTGTAGATATGTGTAGCCAATTGTTACAAAATGATTAGTTAGAACTCAGAATACGCATTCACACTGTATTAATTCACTTTACATAGCTTAGAAATAGAAATAAGTTGAAGCACACAAATTACAACATTTTGACCCTAGCGTTATTATTTATAGGTTTCAGAAGAAGAGCAAAACATTAAATATTGCCCGAGTAATTAAAGCAAGCCTATAAAATTTGTTCTAACCAATCTTTCCCCTTTAGCAAGATCACCCTGAACTCTACTGTGGTGAGTAGAGTGTTACACTTTGTAACTGTGCTTAGCTTTTCCTAGTATAGTTTTCAGTTAATCTTTCTAATAAGATAGGAACTGTTATTGATATTTCTAATTGCATTTATTCTATAATGTATTGCATTACAAATTATATACGTTTTCTGATAGATTGATAACAACCATTGTGATTTCATTGCATACATCAGAGCAATAAACAGTGGTAGCAGCAAGCGCAAGCTCAAACTACAACGACGTCAACTAAAACTCAAACTACATCAACTACAACTACGTCAACTACTGTGAGGATGTCAAAGGACACACCATCATTTGATGGGACTGGTTATAAACGGTACCGCCAGCTTGCTAAGATATGGGCAACTGTATCAACGGTGTCAGAGGAACACAAAGCAATGATACTGATCATGTTTCTCAAAGACAAAGCATTAGACATCGCTCTAACCATAGATGAAGAACTTCTTAAGACCAAGAAGGCTGATGCTGAGCCACCTGAGACTAAAGTCGGTGTTGAGCTACTTATAGCCCAGTTAGATGAGATTTACCTAGAGAGTGATGATACTCTTGGAAAATATGAAAGATTTGAAAATTTAAAAAGAAACTCAGAACAGAGAATGACTGAGTTTATCCTGATTTTCGAGAGTCTAGAACGAGAACTGAAGACAGAAGGAGTGACACTTCCTGAACTAGTGCTGGCCTATAAATTACTAAAAGCTGCCAATCTGTCCAATGCAGATGAGAAGTTAGCTAGAGCCACCTGCACAGCTATGACAATGGAAGATATGAAGAAATCACTCATGAGATTGGCTGATTCCCAACTCAATAAATCCAAAGTAGAAGAATCTGACAGTCTTCCTATTAAAGTGAAAGCAGAGCCATGCTATCTAGCTTTAGACAATAGAAAACTTCCAACAGAAGCTGGTAAAAAAGAGACAACAGACTCAAAAACTCTCCCAGAAGAGCAAATAATGTTCAATAGGAACAGAACTGGAAACAATGTTAGAGGAAAACAGAAACCTTTTGGTCAGAGGAATGACAACAGACAGGTTTGCTACGGGTGCTACTCTCCAGGACACTGGATCAGAGACTGCCCTCTTAGAGCTCCTTTCAGACAGCCGATGAACTTCCAAAGGCCGCCTTACCAACAACACACCATGCCTAATAACCAACACTCAGGCTACAGACAAGGACCGCCCAACCCAGCCTATTACAACCAGCAGATTCCTTATTATCTGTCAGACATGATTCCCAACAATGAAGAGTTTTACGGATACAACCAAGAATACTATGAAGAACCTATGCCTACAGTGAAACCCATATTCTTCCAATGGAACGTCCGTCAAGAAGAAGAAGCTGCTTTTCTAGCCGGAGAAACTGTCAATAAAGCTTTGTTAGACTCAGGAGCAAGTAGAACAGTAGCCGGGGAAAACTGGTATTCATGCTTTCTAGATTCTCTAGATGACGAGACAAGAAGCACTGTTAAAGAATTCCCAGCAGAAATCATCTTTAGATTTGGAGTAGGAACCCTAGAATCTTCTAAGAAAGTGATCATCCCAGTCACAATTTGTACCCACAAAATTCGGCTTGAAGTACACATCGTTAACAGTGACATACCTCTTCTATTATCTTTGAAGTCAATGAAGTGCATGGGAGTACAACTTAATTTCGAGACAGACACCATTACCATCCGTGGAGAAGATTACAAGCTAGAGTTGACTAAATCAGGTCACTATGCGATCCCAATCCAGGAAGAAAACGTGATGGTTCCAAAACAAGAAGCAGATAAGCAGATGAATAGTAAAGAGAGATCTCAAGCCAGAGCTCAAGAAACAAACTCTGATCATAATTCTACTCTAAGAGACTTCAACATTCCAAATCTTGATCCTGAAGAGATAAGTGCTCAAGTAAGACCTGAGATCCAAACCATTACTAGAACGACAGATCAAGAAGAACCACAGGAAACAACAAACAACCTACCTGGTGGAACTGTAGAGCCTACAATAGTTGAAGTTAAAGACACTCCAGAAACAACTATTGAGAGAACTACTGAAGAAGTGGAACAAACAAAGAAACCTCCAAAGG